ATTTTATTATATATTTTCTAGCAAACTTATAGAGCAACCCTGGTAATCCTTCGACGATCTTTGACCAACGCGACGTTTGTAGTGAAGAAATGTGCTCATTTATTGTTTTAATTAACAAACCTTGGCATTGGAAATTTAACAAATGGTCAAGGAAAATAATAACGTTTTCCAATTGCAGAGAAAAAACTGTAAGTTTAGTTTGTGGTGAAACATTTGAGGAAGATTGGATACAATGCATCAACTGCAAGAATTGGTCAAACGAGAATTGTACAGATGGCAGTGACTATTACTTATGCCATAACTATGACAATGTTAAATAATTAATAATAAAAATTTCCTTTATTTTTTTGTTATATTTCACCTTTGTATCATTCAACCCGGACATGTGTAACAATCAACCCCGCCATAGGGTTAGGGTTAGGGTTAGGGTTAGCCTACACACAATCTATTTATCACACAATCAAACAATTTATTTTTCACAGTAAGTGAATAATAAATTGTTTAATTTTAATACATATAAAAAGTCTTAACATAGTTGTTTTAAATACAACAGAGTTATACCAAGATTTATCAAAATTGTAACATATAACATAGCCCCTCTCTTCTCTATTTTATTTTATTTTTCATGTTTAAACCTTTTTTTCTTCGTTTTTAATTTTTTATTTACTTATTTGTTTAATTTTGTACTACTGCCTTGCATGCCCCAACAGTTTCTGCGTCAGTCAGATCCTGATTTTTAAAAACTTGTTCAGAAGCAAAACAAAACGAGAAACCACCTAAATTACAAAACCGCTGAGAAAATGTACCGCCATCACGCTACTAAACGTAAACAAAAAATTATTAACAGTTTAAATTTAATTTTTAAAATAAAAATGTTAACCAGCACAAAAGAAGAGATGAACGCAGAGCAATACCAAAAGACTGGTGCAACTAATAGCTGACATTCTTCCCTTGAGGATTGTGGCACGCTGCCTCTCTGTTTGACGTCGTTAACCAACTTTTATTCAAAATAAAAAAAAATTAAGAGTTGAAATTCAAACGAAATAAGTTAATTGGTGACGGAACTAATGAAAATTACAAATAATAAAAATAAAAACTAGTCCTACAAACCTTACAACCAGGAAGGGTTTCAAGTTGTTTTAAGTAAACTTCGGTAGTAAAATATTCAACTAGTTTTATTTCATTTAATTCAATTTAAATAAAGTAAACTAAATTTGAAATCAATTTCAACAATTAGATGAAAATTTGAAATCAAATTCAACAATTTGATAAAAATTTGAAAAGCAATTCAACGATTTCAAAACAAAAACGTCGTTAGAATGGCTGCGTTTTGTTTCAATTTTTTAATCGATAAACTAACTTTTAACTGTTATTCTGGTTTTTACTAATAAAACATATTTCTGATTATAGTAATTTTTTTGTCAACATCTTAGCTTCATTTTTTTTATTTTCTTTTTTATTACATTCACTTTAAAGATGTTATATGAATTGAAATATAGATCTTAAATTTTTATTTTGATGTTATAATTCAATAAATGTTATAATCCGGCTTTAATAAAATTTAATTAAAATCCTTAGAATATTTATTCAATATATTTATCAAAATAAATGGATAAGATTATGTAAATTATAACAAAACCTGTAAAGTAATAATAAAATTATTTTTTAAGCAAAAGTTTAAAGGATTGTTGTTATAGCAAATGCATTTTAAACAAATTTTATTTAAAAACATTTATACATTTTATATTTAGATACTTCAACAATAATATTTATTGATAACGAAAACTTAACTTGCATGTTCTTTATTATACAACTTTGACATACACAAAACGTCGACTAAATATATTTCCCATTTAAATTCAACACAAAGAGCCGCCATTTTACGCCTGCAATATTTGTAATGATTTACAAAATTGTCAAAACTTTTTATTACACTTTAATTTGTTTACTTAACATGTTTTGTTATAATTTACATAATAAAAAAAAGGTCCAGTTAATATTCAAATCTTTTTGCTAGTTGAAAATCCGGAAAATCCCATCATAGAACTCATTTCACCTTCCTTATCTTCATCATAGTCAACTATTGTTCTTTTCTTCTCTTTCCTTTGTTCCTATTTATGAACTTTCCATGTTTCTTCATCTTCCTTCAACTTTTTTACTCTTTCCCTCAAAACAGTATTGCTTATCTTCCTCTTCGCGCTTCCTTTTGTTTGTTTCAAATCGTTTTTTCACTTGATCCAGTGTTGATCACTCCAGTTTCATCGACATGCCAAGATTTTTCACACGTTTCTTTCCGTTGATGTGGTCCAAAAAGCTCATGCTGTCTTTGACGTTGCACTCACAGACGCTGCAGTAGTGCTCTTCGATCTTAGAGAGAGAGAGAGATGTTGTTTTCGTGACGACAAGTGACATTCCCAATTTTGAATCCAAGTCCACTTTATAATCTCTAGACTTTACTAACTCTAGTTTAACTGGAGCTTTCTCTGCTCTTCCTTTTTCTTTATTTTGTGTTCTTTCTCGAACCAAAAACCGGTTTCACAAACACTCTTAACTCTGTGTGTCTCTTTGTTTTTTTGTTTCTGTTTTACAAGTTTTCTGACGATATTTTATTATCTTTAGATATAATTGTATATATTTATACTTACAATTGATGGCATAGAAAACAACCTCCCACCTCGGACGCTAAGCAAAGATTGGTTGATTTGTAATTATATAGATTCGTTAGATTAAAAAGATATGTATATAATAATTGATTTTGATGATATATTTATACATAAAATAATAGTAGTAATTTTATAACATATATAACTTACTTTACGTTATAACGACAGTTTCGTCATTACATGTTCATTGAAAACATGTAATACTATAACAATAACATTTTTGAGGAAAAAAAATAGAATTCACGATATTATACAATAAATACTTCAAGACAATCAATCTGAACTATAAACAATGGTATTAATAATAACGAAGATCATCATCATCAATGTTTAGAGGCAAATGCTGAGCTATATAGCATAATATTTTGGGTAAATCTTGGCTAACAATAATCAATCAATCAATCCTCGTTTTTAGTTTCCACCGTTATGGGGATCGGACTTTTAATTCCAGTCATCAGTTTCTGTCTATAAGCCAATCTATTCATTGCGTCTGTCTCCTTGAGACCAAGTGCCTTCAAGTCCTCCTGTAAGGTCTGCGTCCAGGACTTTTTGGGCAACATTTTGGGCGGGTGCTAGGCACCTGGTGCTCGGTAACGGAAATTATTGTAGTTTTTGTTTTGTCAAGAACACTCCCTGAAAGTTAGCCCTTTAGCCAGTGATCGCCAAGCTGGATAATCCAGACCTCAAACTTTCAGGCTGCGTCTTGTTCCGAGGCCGACGTCAGGACAATATCATCTGCATATATCACATTCCATATGTTATCTGAGCGTATCGGTTTGATTATATCTTCATTTCGTCATTTCAGTTGTGCTACTTTTATATATCGGCACAGTTGTGCTACTGTTCCATTCCATTTTGTAGTATCGATTTACTCAACATCTCCCGACAAATGTGTAAAAGGGCTCTGAAGCCTGCTCCACCAGATGCCTTGATGATATCATTTGTAAGTCCAGATAGATCAGCCGCTTTACCCACTTTCATTGCCTTCAACGCATCCGTAAGATCATCAGCTGTGATGCCCTGAATCGGTCCTTCCACCGAAAGTGCATCAAAGTCCACTCCAATAGGGTTTGTTTCATTCAATAACTGACCGAAGTAATCCTTCCAGTGATCCTTCACTTCATTCTGCAATGTTATTATGGTGCCTTTATTATTCTTTATGCATGTGACACCAACTATATCCATGATTTGCTATTCGGTAGAATGACCGAATTTGTTAGCCTTTACTTCCAGACAGCCATACCTTGCATTGATTTGTATGAGCTATCGCAGCCTGACATTTTGCTTCTGTGTTCTTTGATCGGTATGTCTTTTCAACTTCATCAGTCTTCGTCTTCTGCCATTGTTTGAAAACTGCTTTCTTACTGGCAATAGCATTTTGCACCGTCTCGTACCACCACCATGTTTTGCGGTTTTGGCCAAAATTTTTCATATACACATGTTGCAGCGTTCAATAGGGTGTTTATAAAGAATTTTCAGGTTATGTCTACTTTGTCTAGACGATCCAGCTGTGCCGATACCAACTCCTCGAATTTTTCTCTGAACATGAAGTTCTTCAGTGTCCATGTTTTTATTCTAGTAGACATTCAATTAGTCACAGAGCGTGATTGTTCAATGATCATATCGGCCACCAGCAATCGATGTTGAAGGATGCATGCTTCGACTGGAATGACTTTTGTATTCCTGAATAGTCGTCTGTGTTGTTGTCTGACGACAATAAAGTCAATATGTGTGCATGACATCCCGCTTTTATATGTGATAAAATGTTTTGCCTTCTTCTTAAAATAAGTGTTCAAACGGGAGAGTTTATGGCACATGCACATGCAATATAGAGACAAGGTTCAGACTGTATAAAATATATTATTGTCTTTTTATTAACTTTATTGCAACTCTATGTTTACCATAAAATTTGATTTGATAACGCCAAAATAATAAAAATGATTGAACCCCAATTGAACAATTAAACCAGCTCCTCTAAAATGTACTCATTTGCAGTGACGAGCATTTTAGATTAAATAGGATTTTATAATTATTTCATTATTAATATTTGGTATTTGGAGTTAGAAAATAAAAGGATGTTCCCATTATTATTATTATTATTATTATTTTTGAGATTTAAAGTCGAAGTGAACCTATTCTCATTTATTTTATTCAACTCATTTATAATATAAATTAAAATTTTATTAAGTTTTCATCCACTACCATTTGCAATAATAATAATAATAATACCAATAATAATAACATCAATAATAATAATATCCATAATAATAATAATAATATAATAAAATTTTAAGAATGTCTATAAAAATAATTCTATAGTTTAACTTTTATTCAGAAATGTCCAAAGAAAAGTTACTCAAACAAAGACCTTCCAACATGTTTTACTCCCTTGTAGACCTTTCAAAGTCAGTTCAAAGGTTAAAGAGGTCGAAAAGGTCGGAGTTCAAAGGGACTTTAAGAAACTCTTCCAACCATTCTTGTTCACTATTTCGGTTATAAAGGAAAATTTTATTTAAAATAAAAAATAAAAAATCTTTTGTCTATTTTTATTTTGAGATTTTTTAAAAACCATCATTGATAATAAGGCTGCTTGGATATGAATAAAAATGGTGATGAAGATGATGATGATGAGAGGATGATGGTGAGGATGGTGAGGAGGATGATGGTAAGGATGATGTTCATTTTCCTTCTTTTCTTTTCCAACACTTTTTTCCATTTTTTACAATGTCTCCCAGGTCGGTTGTGTAAGTTATGTTGGAGCTTCCATCTGGCAGTACGAAAATCTTAGAAGGAAGGTGAGGAAGATCAACGGTGGAGTTGTCGGCGGAGGAGGTGGTGGTGGGTGGTCCTCCTCCACTATTTATGGAAAAGCTGAATCCATAAGAAGAGAGGTGGTGATGATGATGATGGTGCAAAAAAGAAAAATTACATGATTGTGAAATCATTATTTTGCAAAATTTTTACCTACAAAATCTTTGGTTTCTACTCCAACTCCACCACCATCAACGTTATAACGTTAGAGCCAAAAATTAACAACGAAACATAGCATTAGATCTTATTTATTTTATTCACTAACATTAAAGCGTCATTGTCTAAGCTAAGATAATTTCGTCAAAACTGACAGTTAAATCACTGGTGGAATGGTTTGTCAGCCGGGGAGCGGACGGTGGTGGTCATCATGGCCTTGAACTTCGGGGTTTTCCTGCTCTTCAACCTACCATGATCAAATATTTTACTGCCAGTCCTTATTCTGGTATGTGCCATTTTTTTACGGACAGCATAAAAAGATTATAAGCACATACAATCACACACAAGCTTGCGCGGTGGCCACACCCACGCTCAACTTCAGTGCACACGACATGCACACACTCTAATATATATATATATATATATATATATATATATATATATATATATATATATATATATATACGATACGTAGACTGCTAACACACGCTCACGAAACAACACACACGTACACGACTACACACACGCATACGAAACAACACACACGCAGGCGCACCATGCGTCTCAATGTTCCTCTCCTCCTTCAGCCATCATTCATTCTTCCACCTCTTCGCCAACATGTACGTTCTCTGGTCTTTCACTCCATCCATCAGCGCCATCTTGGGCCAGGAACAGTTCCTCGCCACCTACGTCACTGCCGGTTAGTTCCTGATGATGAAATGATGATGATGATAGTGGTTGTTAGCTTAGACGGCAGGAGTGCCGATGTATTCTTCGTTGTTATTGCACACTAACCTAGTTCGATTCCCCGTTGTCTGAAACTCACATGGTATCAGATGCTTTTTTATCCATAATTTAATAATTAATTCATACATTGTTTATAATTGTTGTTGTTTAAGAAAAAAATAGTTTAATTTATTAATTTTTTATTGGTTCATTCAAATCATTTTCTCAATATTCATTTGGTAGTTACATCATCAAAATAACTCGATGTAGTCTCTCCCCATCTATGAGAGCTGTGAGTTTTTTGCTAATAAGGCTGCTGGATATTAATTAGGTTCATGAATATTAATTAAGTACATGAATATTAATAAGGTTTGTTTTAAGAATGTTGAAGAGAGATTGATATGTATGACTGACCAGTTGCTTACCTGCTTAATTGACCTTTGTTTGTCAATGATAATATATCATCATTTGCTGCTGGCTGCTGAACTACTAATTTTTGTACCAAATTCACATCTTTTGTTATCATTGTCATAGTTGTATCATCATCGTCATAATCATCTTATCATCATTTTCATTATCATCACAACCATCGTCATCACAATCACAAGTCAGGAGCCATAATGGCTGTGCTGGGCATGGTCTGCTCCAGGCATCCAGACGCCCACCTCAGTATCGCCTTCGTAGACAAACTCATCCCTCACTCCTTCTCTGCTGGTTCGGTCAATCTATATGCTGCTCATGTTGATGTCTGTCTGTCTGTTTGTCTACTTGTCTAGTTGTCTACATGGGTGTCTCCTGTAATGTTTCTATTTGTATCTGTCTGTTTCATTACAACGTGGCAAAACCTTAGGCACCGACCTAAAGAATAAAATATTTTAATAATAAGGATAATTAATTTTTTAATTTGTTGTTTATATTAATAATATTACTATTGGTATTATTTTTGTTGTTGTTGTTCTTAGTGCATTTGTTATTATTTGTAATTATTATTAGTGTCGTTAATAAAATTCTTAAAATTATTTTTGGTTTTGCGAGAGTTCGCTTCTGAATTTGCCTTTTTTATTATTACGCAAATAAAGTACATCAGGAATTTAATTTACTGAATTTTAATTAAGATAATGTAAAAATTAAAAGTGGTAAGGCGTTAATTACAGAAAAATATATATATATAATTTAAGCAACGACAAGGTTATTATAATTTAATTTATAATTTAAAACAATGATTTTACTAATATCCCATTAAATAATTAATAAAGAAGGTACCTAATATAAATGTATTAAGAATATTGCTTTTATTTTATTTATTTTTAAAAGTTAATTCGCCGCTGAATCATCTGTTAGTACGAACTTATGCTACTAACAAGACACCTTGTTGTGAGTTAAAATAAATAAAACAACACAATTAGGCGTAATAAAATGTTATCTTTTTTCCCACGTAAATCTCGAACCGTTTCGTTTACAAGCTCTCAGGAAAAAAAGGGTAGAAATCGAGAGAGAAGCAAAGACATAAAAATTAACATAGATTAAGTAACATTGAAATTGCAATAATCTTTAATAATAATTAATACATAAGATAGTTAATAAATGAATGTTTGATCCCTACACATCTCTATAAAATTTGTCATCAAAATATCATCCTTGTTTCGAGAAAGATGAGTCCAGTTATTATATTCCACACCGGCTGGGACTCAGCAGAAGGAAGAGGAGTTTCAAATACGAATTATAATATAATGAGGTAAACACTTCCGGGTCGACGTTAAGTTCCAAAGTAAAAGTTCAACCAAGTACACATAATTCCTAATCCACATTAAATTCATAGATAATCAAAAAAGGTACTGCAACATATGATGTGCGATCTCTGATTTAAATGAAATTATCATCTCAGGCAGGCCTACAAAAATGTGAACATTGCAAAAACAATTTACATTTTAATCCAAAATAATTTTGTTGTGGGTCTGCAACAGTTGTCTATTAAAGTTTATATAAAGACTCTGGTCTATTGAACATTGTGCTTGAATGAATTTTATATAGAGAGAATGACACAAATGTTATGCACGAAGTTTATTATTTAAAAATAAAACTCAAAACAATACAAAACAAAAAAAATCTAACATAAATAAATTTGAAAGAAGCAAACAAACAAATGCAATTTCAAACAAAGGTAACAAATGTTTGCAGTGTACGGAAATAAAGTTAAACCATAAAACGAAGAGTCATCTATCTCTCTTAATGTTTAGACAATGTGAAAACAGAAACAATGTGAAAAATTTAAAAGTAAATTTAAAATTGTAATAATATTTCATAAACGACAATTTTTCAAAACTAATTATTTATATTTTGGCCTATTAAACTTTTTAATAAGTTGAATCAGTAGCAGTAGATACTTTTGATGGAGCTGCTTTAGCCGGTGCAGCTTTCTTAGTATCTTTTGTTGATTCAGCTTTGTTAGCTTTGGCGCCACTTCTAATTTTGGGCTGCTTCATTTTATCGCCAACTTTTGCTTTAAAGTCTTTCACTGATTAAAAAATTATTGGTTATAAAACAAATGAATAAAAAAAATTTGTAAGTGATTAAAATTTAAATCTAAAGTATCTTTTAGTGCGAGAATGAATAATTAATGACAAAAAATCAAACTATTTAATTCAAATAGTACCAGCTTGAAGTTTTTCTTCGTATATCAATGGATGCTTCTTCTTGACATAAAAAATGGCACAACAAACTGATATTATCAAAAGTAGGAGCATAGATCCAAGAATCAATAGAGCATTCATTAATGTTCCCATTTGCACTGATGTCATCGGTGCTATCAAACAATGAAATCAATATAAAATTTCAATTTAAGTAGAAAATAAACTAAATAATTAAAATTAGCTTACTAGTTTTTTGGAACCTATTAAAATTGGCGGCATTATAGCATTCCGAAGTTATTTCTGGACCAATGAAAACTTTTGAGCAAATCAAATCTTTCGGACATGCACCGTTATTGAGCGAACAATCTAGGAAATATTTCAAGGTTGATCGCTATGAAGAATAACGGATAGAAGAGATTACCTCTCTTGTTGCAAAGTGGTCCAGTCCAACCAGGATCACACCTTCCTGGCTTACAATCCGGTGATCCAGCCGATGTGTCAATACAGAAGTGGCGTTCAATGCTTGCTTCGTACCTCAAGAAAGCTGGATGGTCATTGCATGTGAATAGATTAACCATAACTTATTTGATGTCTGTTGGAGTGAAAAACTTTCCAACGATTAGCAAAACGGTAATGAAAAAACGAATTGCCTAGCAAGAAGTAAATGCCCTAGCGGGAAACGAGTTCGTTCTCCAAGAAAGCGATTTGAAATATACCGAGACATGATTTGAAAATAACAGTTCACTGAAGTTCAAATAAAATGATGGGTAAATAGATATTTAGCAACTATCAAATTTTTAGCGGTCCAAAATATAAGACCATGAATGCGTATGCCTGATAAGAAAACTAATTCCGAACACAAGTTTTTCGAAATTTTCATTTTTGCTAGATTAATAAGTAAAATAGGTTTCACTACACTGAAATGTTATTTTTTCATGATTAAAACAAAAATACATATGCAACATAATTTTTGTGGAGCATGGAATTTTTTTGCTGGGTTTGGGACGTGGCACAAAGGTCGGGAAACACTGGCCAAGCAAGTATTTTAATTCATCTACTTTTATATAGAGAGAACATTCCATCGCCTCCACAAGATAGAGTCACATAGTCCTGGCATTTTTGATTGCACTTAGACGTGGCAACTTGAAATGAGGCATTCATCAAACTTCCACATATGCATTTAATTGAGTTCTGGATTATAAAATTGAACCAATTAAGTTGAGCTAAAATATTGGAGCACAATAAATGTAGTTGACCCACCATTATGGCAAATTCAATGGAGTTTTGCATCCTGCAGTGCACCGAGCAAGATTTAAATGCCTCACCCTGAGTGACCCCGATCACCTTGTTCTCTTGTTTCAATGCCTCCGAGTAACAACCAACGTAACTTGGTTTGGGCATTTCAGCTACAAAAAATTTGAAATCTGGTGTACAAGCCAAACAATTTTGGATTACAATAAACAAGACGCAGAAACAAGCAGTACATAGTTGAAATTAAAAAACTTGAAAAATTGCGTTGGAAACCTGAGAAAACAATGTAATGGTTAGGTCCTCCACACGGGCTGCCATCAGAACACACCACGTAGCAATTAGCTGATTCACTTTCATTTCTGGCTGACAAACCACAGTGACATTCATCACCATTCTTATGGGGTTAAATAATTTTTTCAATCTTAAAAATTTACGGATGATATAAGAATTCTGAAAAGATTTAAATTAATATGAGAAGATACAAAGCTCGAACACTCTGCAATTGGTACTCAAGCGAACTTAAATGATAATAATAATAATAATAATTAATAATCATAATAAACAATCATAATGATAATAATAATATTATTATTATTGACAAATAATAATTTATATTCTAAAAGCATTTTACGGCACCAATCTGAGTAATTAATAAATCCATTAGAAAAACCTACTTGACAACCACCATTTTTAAAACCAAAAATTCAAATTTCAAAAAGAATTTTCTCATTATTTAGTGAATTTTCTAATTTCAATCAATAAAAGAATTTACTAGCCTTCAAGCCGACAATGAGCATGGGGTTTTGAAGCACTTTGCAGAATTTTTTACATTCATCAAATGTGAGGTTCTTCGATTGCATTGTGTGCACAGTATGAAAAGAGCCAAAACATCCAACGTAATAATATACTGGCAAATTTTCTGCGTTAGAAATCAATCAAATTTCATTTAAATGATCATTTGTGAAATATTTACTGAAATAACCTGCAAAAACTTGAAAAATATTCAATCAATAACGTGAAAATTTTTGAAATGGCAACACGTGACTCATGGCGTAACGCAGAGAAATGAAAAAATTGAGAACAAACCTGCATAGACTTCAATCTCATCAATCGCCATATAATTTACTTCTTGTTTAATTTCAGGAAATAGAAAGACAAACATTGATTTGAAATCTGGATACTTGCATGTCACAAATTTGGGCGGTTCTGTACATACTTTCATGTTCACTTCATATGTATTGCATGGAATTCCAAGCGAGCCAGCCTGCAGGATATCGTCCAACTCAACCACATAAGTCAGGTTGTCCTTGCCTACAAAAATTGTATGAACATTTTCAAGTAGTTGGTACATGTGCAATCGAATTTATCACCATTACCAATATCAATGAAATTTGGCCTGTGGTAGACAACTACGTATTGCACTTTGTATAAAGTATCAAGATGCACAGTTATTGATATTTCATTTGGTGACCGAAGAACAAGTTCTGAAGGATTTCGTATGATGTGACCATCGACCAGATACTCTGGTTGATAGGTTTCAGGTTGTGGGACGGTTTCAACTCTCTTTCTGAATGCTACATTCTTAGACGGCAAATCTTTATTTCAAAATTAAGACGAGTTAACATGGATTACAAAAAGCAAATAAATTGTAAATGATTGAATAGAAGGAAGACCACCTTCACAAGTCCATTGAGCAGTTTTGTATTTGCCAGCTGGACAAACACATTCGCCAAATGTTTCTTCTTTAACTTCCAGTTTATTGCAGATCATATCGTCCCCACAGCCTTCTTCGTCTTCACAATCTTTGAATTTTTCAAATTAGAAAGCAAAGTTTACATTTTTGAATCGATTGAAACATAAGAAAAATTTAAACATATTTACGTCTTCTGTCACAGAAATCTCCAGTCCACCCAGCTTTGCATGCAGCATCACAACTTGATAAATCTTTCAGTTCATCAACTTTATTACCACAGTGAGTATAAACTGACTGACCAGCTGGAGCTTCCAAATATGTTCCAACTGTAAATTATCATTGATATTTAAACAAATTTATTAGTAAATAAAGTGTCACCTGATGAACAAATAAGATGATTAATCCCTAACAACTTTTTTTTACCTCTTACCTGAAAATTTGGCCGCACAATTGGTCCCGGCACATTTTTGATCCTTATTTCCAGGACATACTGTCAGGCAGTTGCTTTCATAGTTCTTCGGATCACCACAGGTCTCCTTATTTCTGGAGCTGCACCTGCATTCTTCTGTTCCCTGATACAATGCAATGATGTTCAATGTCCAGTACATGAATGTTTTAATTGCTATTTGATGTGAATTTTGATTGAAACGTCAAGGTAACGGCTCAAAAATTATCTTCAAAAAGTACAGTTACAGAGATTTTTTGTTTCTAGTAAATAAAGTTGAAATTTTATTTTGAAAATTGAGATACACCGAATATTTGAAAATTTAAGATTAGGGATCAGCTTTGTCTAATTTTAAAGGCCAAATAGCCAAATATTGCAACTTTCCTTATTTAGGCATTTTTTCTGGTTTCCAAAAAGTAAATGTTGATTATTAAAAACGGAAATTTATTGCCGTTACAGTTGCTAGAACATCTGGAATTAGACAAGAGATTGAATATTATCTCGTTAAATAATTAAATAATAATGAATGCTTTTCCCGAAAGCTTGTTTTTCATTCTAAAAAAAAATTCAAAATTTTGTATATATTGTCCTCGGATTTGACTGGTTATTTATATATATATTTATTCATTCAAAAAACTTGAACTTTTATTCGGTTTTTGGCCGCCAAATTCATTATTCGGTGCATATCAAGTTAAAAATATCGTACGTGTAAATTTTTTGCAAATAGTGATAAAAAACAAAATCATTTGATATGAAATATAGTAACTGTGAGATAAGCCAATGGTAATGAGTTTTCAGCACAGATCTTCATGCATAATTCTATGGTTAATGAAAATAAATTATTGAAAACTTTCGCATCATCAGGAACTACAGAGCCAGCATCGATCAGTGCATGTGTTATCAACATGGCAGGTTTTGCTGATAAATAAAAAAATTTCCGTTATAGTTAAGTTAACATTCAATGTTTCAATAAAAACAGACTCTGATAAATGGAATAATATGTAAGGCCGCCACATAATACATCCATGTTTTCGCATGTCATGTTACAAAGTATACTTGATACTGGGTAGGAAGCTTTTTCAACGCAGAAACACATTCTACCCTCCTGCCGGTAGAAAATTTAAAAACTTCAAATTAATAAAATAATTAACCTATTCTGTATTCAAAATGTCAAAAAATTTAAAGTGTTATATTCGTTAAAAGACTCTCGTTGATAAAACCAGGGTTAACACACGTCCGATAAATCCTGCCCTGTTTTGATCATAAATATTGGGATTTATGTCTGAGTTTTTGGATATCAAATATAAATTATTAGATTTTCTAAAAAAAATTTTTCAAGCTTATTGTTGTTAAATGTTAAAATGTTTTTTTTGAAATAATCGGCATTCGCAAGAAAAAAATGTTCCTTTGAATTTTTTCTCCGTACTATCCAATTTCCAGCTTTATATTTTTTTGATACGAAATGAATGTCTACTCTTAATGAAATTATGTAAAAAAAACCAAACGAAATGAACTTGATACCAAACTTAAAACCTAACCAAACCGAACCAGAATTTTGAACCGGACCAAACCGGAACTTTGGTATTGTTAGACACGAACCAAACCGAACAAAATGTTTTTATGCTACCGAAACCGAATTTGCGATGTTGTACATTTTGAAACTCGTGAATCCTCACCAAAACTGCCTACTATTAACCGTATAAACTAGAAAATGCTGATATAAGCAAAGCAGACATAAAAATTGTAAAAGAAGATTTACTGATAAAAATCCAATATCTTACGAGTTTCCGTTGCATCGGTTAAAACCGTTGCATCGGTATCTGGAATTTCTTATGCTTCAGCAATTCCTGTTGACATTGTAGATTTCCCGATACCTGCATCGGATTTTTCACATTTCCGATACCGATATATCGGTACTAAACTTTCAAGTTCCTGATACCGAGTCCGATCTAAATTGTGCTTTCTTCTCTTATTGCGTAATTTCATAAAGTCGAACCAAACCCAAACTACGCTCATGATCGATTCGAATCAAACTTCACTTGTAGTCAAAACTGACCTGAATTCTACTAACGGTTTAATCATAAACACTGGACAGAAACGAATCAGAACGATAGATCTATCCAAACAGAACTCAAACTTTATAAGATATGTTTGATTTGCATTTTTAAAAAACCTGCTCAAAATTAAACTTGTTATAAAATAAAAGAAAACTAACACTGAGTCCAATAAGGTAGGTACTTGGTATATCAACACAGAATCTCTCACACAACACTCTGCTGTAAACTGGTCTGACCAAGCTGTGCACCACAAGTGCAAAGCAGCCGATGTATTCCAACTTGCTCGTCATCACTGAACCCACCTCTTCAAGTTAAATTTATCTATTCAATTAGAGCTGAATGTGGAAATAATATTTATTTTCATAAATCATCTGTCGTGTACAAACTTTAGAGAATGTGGTAAATGTTAGTCAATGTTAAAAATTTGTTTTGTTAAGGTAGCGTTAAAAATTATTCATCCGATTGCTCTCCCAAGAAACGTTTATCAAGAAGTTAAAAATCTGTTTAAAACAAAATCTATGTAAAATTTAAACAAAAAATTGGCAAGCAATTATTTTATTGGTTGTAGGGGTTAAATTTTATCCACTTAGCGTCTTCATTCGGGCCCGAGGTCACCAATGATTTTTTCATCTGCGACTATTTTAACTGCTTTGACCAAATAAACGTTGCAACGATAATTATGTTGAAATTTTTATTTACATGTTCAATACATTAGTTCCAAAAAAAATATTGGTGAAAAAATTAGAGCTTTATGAAATAAAAGTAAAAAGTAGTAAATCAATCAATCAATCGATCAATCGATCAATCTATCAATCGATCAATCGACCAATCGACAAATCGATCAATCGATCAATCGATCAATCGATCAATCGATCAATCGATCAATCGATCAATCGATCAATCGATCAATCGATCAATCGATCAATCGATCAATCGATCAATCGATCAATCAATCAATCAATCAATCAATCAATCAATCAATCAATCAATCAATCAATCAATCAATCAATCAAACAATCAATCAATCAATTAGCTTGTGAAGCGCTATTTCCGTGATGTTCAACAGCGTTCCTCATGAATTTTGAAAACAGATGGGTCTTGAGATCCGCTCTGAACTTCGTAAGTTATGGAGAAGTAGTCAGAGAAGTAGGTAAAAAGTTCCAGAGAAAAGGGCCAGAAAAAGCGAAACAGATTTGGCAAAAGAGTGTTTAACACGAGTTAAAAAGAAGCGAGAACAAGAAGACGATCGTAAACCGGGGCGTTTAGATTCAATTAATATATCTGATAAGTACTTAGGAAATAATTTAGATTGAGACTTATACATAAACGTGCAAATTATAAAAAGTATTCTATATTAGTAAGAGTAAGAGTAGGATCATCAAGAAAAGGCAAAAGTTTTTTTATTCTACGTAGATGAAAGTAAGAGCTTCTAGCAACACTATTAATCTGAGAAAAAAGAGACATACTAGTAAATAATATCCCGGTGATAAGTCTGGTAAACGAAGACGAAATAATTTTAAAAATCTAGAAAGGATCGTTAGCAAATATTCACTTCCATGCGAATAATAAGCATTAATATTAAGATGCTTTAATGTTTCAACTACGACGAAACACATAAACTCCTTACCTTGGAGTTCGCCATTCTTGTTCAAACCATAATTGTCAGGATATTGGCATTCTGTTATATCCGATTCGGCCCTATGAAATGATCTACAAGTCGCATTCGGACCACATGCTCCCTTGTCCTCTGAACAGTCTATTTCAAATGAGACATTGTTTAATTATTTAAAAAGTTGTTGTTTAAGATTCTTAAACATATAGTAATACTAAAGTTCTAGAATTATTCATAAGAAACAAGTAATTCTTTCCAAAACGACAGCACTAAATAATTATTTCTACGAAATGAAATATTTCATAACAGCACCTCTCTTGTCACAAAACTCTCCAGTCCATCCAGCCATACATTGGCCTGCTTGACAGCCACTTGAAATCTCTTCTTCATTCATACAGAAGTGATAATTGACAGGGTTGTTTCTGTGGTTGAACAGGTTTCGTCCTGTGCAAATTAACCGAACGTTTTTTCTAATAATAAATTTTTTTTTCGGAAAGGAAAGATAAATAATGTCAAAATAATATTCACGTCGATTAAGATAAATTATGATCCAAATTTGAAACTTCAATAAAAATGGTTAACAGTTTGATGTTTAAAAACGTTGAAACCATTACTTTTGTACAATGAGAAGGTGTCGTCTGACCCGCATGTTTTCCCCTTCTCGTTTTTGCACGCCATATTACAACGTCTTGAATCGATTTGCTGATTTCTAGCATATAATCGGTCGCCACACACGCAATATTTACCTTCCTATCAATCACGAGATGCCGAAATGTATAGGAAGTATTCAATTTATTGTGCAACCAATAATTTATTCATTTACCACGATCAAATTAAATATCACCACCTTAATAACGTGGCAAACCACGTGCCAACATTTGAATCATATATAATATAGTTGTCATAGTTCTTTGATGTTTTTCGTACAGTCACAATCATCATCGACATCGCAAGAAAGTTAGATTAAAAAAAACAGTCGGCGTATTCCTTTGTTGTTTTGTCATTACCGATATCGCAATTAAACAATTAAATTATTTAACACGCCGGCATATGAAACTTTTCTTTGGTGAGTTTTGTTAGAATCAGTGGGTTTTATTGACGTATTTGTGTTTTGATACATACACCAAAGAAATCGGCGTTGATGTGTGCAGTGCACTTTTATTTTCGTGCGCGTCCAATTTTTCTATTTATTATTAAATTGCTATTTTAACATTTCATTACTGGTTTTTGGTTGCACAAAAGCGTGACAAACACCGAAGCAAGACGCGAAGCATAGGGGGAGGGAGAATTCGGGTCTTTCCCGTCCAATTTGGGACGTTGGCAACTATGGACAGACTATGCAAGATGGTTCCAGTGCCATATTACATGTTGCTACTACGCGGGGACCAGGTTCGAAGGTCATCAGTGCAAAAGCCGGAAATGATCTATACGCAGTCAGATGTTGATTACATGTCATGCGGCCGTAGAGCCTAGGTCGAAATTACATAAAAAACAGAAATTAATAACGTAACGTTAATGCATTAAAATTAATGCTGGATGAAGGCTATGTTAACCAATGTTAACTACCTTGATAGCAAATTCTTCAAACTGGTAAGCATTGCAATATAGGAAGCACGATCTGAATGGTGAATTTGTGACATCGGCCTCCAATCTCGACAGTGCTCTCGGTTCAATTGCGTCACTGCTGAAACAACCTAAGTAACTTGGCTTGTTCAATAGAGCTGCAGTTTTCAAACATTCAACATACATAATAACAAACATTTTTATTAATTAAATTAAAGGTGAAGTTATAGTTAATAAAAACTTGTTTCGTGCTTTATGAGAAGACCTGTTCTGATTATTTTATCACAATTTATGCTGCAAAATATAGTTTTTGCTGTTAACATTCTGCTATAATTTACAAGTGCGTTGTACAAAGTTAATTTTTCAAAATTGATGATTGATAGTTACCTGAAAAGACCCTGTAAAAATTTAAGCAAACAGTTTCGTCCAATTGAACGTCTGCATCTACCCCGCAGTGACAAAATTTTTCTTTCTAAAAGATACATTTACATATTGAAATCAATTGCTTTAATTTAGTAAAAACTATAATTCTTACAATAATATTGTTATTATAGTTTTTATTATCAATACAAATACAAAAATTTGTAGAGCTTCGCTCCAACAGCTGCTTTAGTGGCGCCAGGAGTCTACAAACACAATTTTAAAAGTTGATTTTTTAGCCCGCTAGTGGGATTCGACATAAGAGAAGTTTCAAAAATTTGATGAGATTCCTTGAAGGGGTCTGGTAGGTTCTCGAAGAGATAGGAAGTTGCACGGGTGCACTGCAGATAGCTTCGCTCGCTCTGATTTTGATTGTTAGAAGTGTAATTTTGTATATAATACCAATAGAGCAGAAATTCAAAACAGCCCAAAAAGATTGGAAAAAATGTAACGAAGAAAATTGTTGAAAATAAGTTCGACAGATTTGGCTCAAACGACATGTAGAAACTTATTTGTCTATTGCTGATAAAACTAAACGCCTACCCAGAGTTGCAAAACATAAATAGTCGGCGAGTTTGCTCTGAAAGTAAAAGTGCCATGTCTGGCGCTGTTATTGTTGCAATGACCTGGTTCAAATGCTGTCTGAAACTCAAACAACTCTACAACATCATGTATAAATAATGCGAGTGTTAAAAGACTGGAGAAAGCCTATAGGTTAAATCCATCTAACTCTCTTTATTCTATCTATGAATCTGAATTAATTAATTATAAATATTTACTATTCTCTAAACACTCTACTTTTCTTAGAAATTCTATACCATCTGCTTCAACATTTAAAAATAGATGGTCTGTTCTATCTAAACTTCTTCATAAGAAATCCTCTCACTCATCTTTTTCTGCTCAACAGTTTCATGACTTTTTTGTAAATAAAATTACTTTTTTAAGAACATCTAATTCTAATTTTTTTCCTCACAACTTTACTAAACTTACTACTAAATCTTTTTCTTTATTCACTCCAATAAATCTTCTAGAACTTACTAAAATCATTAACTCTATGTCGTCAACAACATGTTCTCTAGATCTACTTTTTTCTAAATTATTTAATACATTTTCTTCAATACTTTATCTTATCATTCTCAAATTAGTTAATTATCTATTTGCCACCTCCAAATTTCTTACTTCTTATAAGAATTCTATTGTTATTCCTATTCTTAAAAACTCTTTCTTAGATCCTACCTCTTTATCTAATTATAGACCTGTTACTAAATTCATCTCTAAAAAAATAGAAAAAGTAGTTTATAATCAATTGTCATCTTATTTAAACTCTAACTCCTTGTTACTTGTATCTCAATCTGGTTTCTGACCTGCTCACAGTACTGAAACTTTTTTACTCAAAATACATAACGATATCCATCTCACTAGTGACAATAGTAATCTTACTCTTCTTCTTGCTCTTGACTTTTCCTTTGCTTTTCCTCTGATCATACTATTCTCTTGAGGCTGCTACATTTTTCTTTAAAATTACTGATTCCTGTCTATCTTGGTTTTCTTCTTATCTCTGTAATTCTTTTTTTTCTGTTGTTCTCAATAATTCTACTTCTAACTTCTCTTGGTTCTATCCTTGGCCCTCTTCTATTTATACTCTATACCTCTGAACTACCTCATATTATTAATAACTTTTCTTTCACTAGTCACTAGTGCTGATGATTCTTATATTTATACTTCTTTTCCTCCATCTAATCTCAATAGTGTTCTTCATAATCTATTATTATTATTATTATTATTATTATTATTATTATTATTATTATTATTATTAGAGAACTTGTAGAGCGCCTTTTATAGTCACCCAAAGGCGCTCCATGATTTGTGCGAATCAATCCAAGAAGATATGAGTTTTCAATTCCTTGCGAAACTGTTGAAGAGTCAATCCCGGTCGAGGCAGGTGATGGGGCAAATTATTCCAGATCGAAGGACCAGCAACTGCAAAACTTCTATCAGCAACAGCTAACTTTGTTTTCGGCACCATCAATAGATCTTGATCATCTAAACGCAACTTGATTGACGGATGAGATCTAACTCTACGTATTATCATTTCAGACAGGTAACTTGGACTGAGACCATTCAGGCATTTGAACACCATGATAGAAATTTTGTATAAGATTCTTTTCCTAACATTAAGCCAATGAAGATCCAACAACGTTTGACTAATGTGATCAAACTTCAAACGGCCACTGACAATCCTGGCCGCTCTGTTCTGAATTGACTGTAGAGAAGACAATGTACTGTTTGATACTCCATAAAAAACACTGTTACAGTAGTCCAACTTTGAATGAACAAATGCATGAACCAAACATTTCAATGTGTCATTATCTAATGAGTTTTTAACTTGATTAAGCCTTCTAAGCTGAAATGAGCACTCCTTACTAAGCTTTTTGGCATGAAAATTCATTGACATATTTTGATCCAATACGATCCCCATGTCACCAACGGAGGAACAAAAATTAACATCCGACCCAGATATGTTGATAGACTCAACATCAATTTTCTCCAGCTGTTGCCAGGTACCAATCAAAAGTAGTTGAGTTTTACCTTCATTCATCTTCAATCTGTTATCTATCATCCACCCATTGAGTTTTTCGATGCAACATACAAATCTATCAACTTCATCTTCAAACGTTGTATTACATGCAATCGGAACAATTATTTGCACATCATCAGCAAACGCATGATACTTGAAATTAAATTCCTCAATAATTGGGAACATATCAGCTGTATAAAGTAAAAACAACAAAGGCCCAAGGACTGAGCCCTGAGGAACTCCAGACGTGACTATCTCAACATCTGACAACCCGTTGTTAAAGAAAACTTGCTGAGTCCTTCCAATTAGGTATGATTCAAACCATGAGGCTACTACATGAGAGACACCAAAAAGATATTTCAATTTATCAATCAACAAGGTGTGATCAACGCAATCAAAGGCAGCACTCATGTCCAATAAAGCCAACAATGAAACTTTGTGTTGATCCATAGCTGCAACTAATGTAGACGTAACATCAATTAAAACGTCTCAGTTGAATGGTTCTGCCTATAGCCCGATTGGTAAACAGGCATCAAATTATGTCTATTCAGATGACTTAAGAATTGCCCAAAACAATACGTTCAAGAACCTTAGGCAAAAACAACAGATTGGATATTGGACGGAAATTAGAAATATCACTTTTATCAAGGGATGACTTTTTTAATATAGGAGTTACAACAGCGTGTTTCAGAGGATTAGGAAAACAACCAGTTCTTAAGCACAAGTTAACAAAAAACGTCAAGAATGGAATAAACAAGTCGATATATGATTTAAAAACTTGAGTCGGAATAAAATCATTTGAAAAGGATTTTGTTGGAGAACCTAAAACAATTTTTTTAATTTTGTCACCGAGACAGATTCAGACCCAGGACGATAAATGGACAACAGAATTACTTTAGAATTTTTCAATGAAAAAACAATGGCCAGTGCCTCAAATGTCAAATCTATCTCTATGTCTTTCTTCAATTGTCGCTTAGTCTGACTCTATGTGTCTTAAACTTAATCCTTCGAAATTTGAATTAATTTGTTTTAATAAATCTAAACACTCTATTACTATTCCTCCTATTATCTAACCTGATTCTAAAATTAAAATAAAAATCTTTTGCCTTTTCTTGATGATCCTACTCCTCGCCTTCTTTTTATTTTGTTAGTCTTATCTAGGATTAATTATTGTTACTCGATCTACTATGGTCTTCCTGATTCTATACTCTATCCTTTACATAAGGCTTTTAACTTTGCTGCTCGTCTAGTTGCCCGTGTCCATTTCTTTTATCAAATATCTCCATATCTTGTTCTTTTGCACTGGCTACCTATAAAATATAGAATAATTTTTAAAATTTGCACATTTTTGTATAAGTCTCAATTTAAATTATTCCCTAAGTATTTATCAGATATATTAATTGAGCCTAAACGCCCCGGTTTACGATCGTTTTCTTGTTCTCGCTTTTCTTAACTAGTGTTGAACACTCTTTTGCTAAATCTGCTTTTGCTTTTTTCGCCCTTCTCTCTGGAACTCTCTACCTACTTCTCTGACTACTTATCCACCACTTACGAAGTTCAGAGCGGGTCTCGAGACCCATCTGTTTGCAATATTCACTGAGAAGCGCTGTTGAACATCGCGGAAATAGCGCTTTACAAGTTAATTGATTGATTGACTGATTGATACGATGATTGCGCTGGCACACAAAATACGTGTGCATGTCGTATTGTGTAACTAGCAGAGATTTAGTTGTAAGTTCAGAATAATATGTAAGCTCTTCTGTGTATATTAGAACTGCAAAATGATGAACGAAAATCGTCGTTTATAATCTTATGTCTCATCTGTTTTATAGCGTAGAAATAGTAATTGCAAAATTTGACAATGACAATTGCACGGTTATGGAAAACTGGGTAATGCCATGAAGATTTATACTGCATTTTAGATCCTGCAAAATTTATTTATAGTTTGAAATAAGGAAAATTTCAGCAACTGTAGCGTGCAATGTCTCGAATTTGTAAAAAATAAGTTTAAAAGTGGCGATAAGTTTAAAAAACTGATGAACATTGCTTGTGCAGTCCAGCGGAGAGCGTGGAGCTTTTTCGGCAAGATTTTAAGTGGATACAGAAACACAAAAATGAGCACAGCCTGCGTCTTGATAAACAAAGTTGTCTCTGCTATAACATTGTTCCGAACAGAGAAAATGTAAACTGTGAAAATGAGGGTAAAAAACAATGGTCGGAAGAAGCGTTGTTGGTGCTGACGGGAGAGACTTGATTTTTAAAATTATATTCACACATTTTCTTTTGCCAGTTTATTGTTTTTTTTTCTTTCCTTTCCACCCCCTCTCTTCCTCTCTATCTTTCTCATTCTCTCTCTCAATTTCTCTTTTTTTTCTTTCTCTCTCTAGGTTGAATTTTCAAGTATCAACAAATTTTCTAATTGAAAAAATCTAAATAAAAATAACTAGTGACTTACGTGTATTGCAAATATAAAATTTTCTATATTGAATCCTGCACAATATTTATGACATTGTTCATCGTTGCCAAGATTTTCATCCTTAGATGAATTAAACGTTCTAAATTTTTCAAAACAACCAACGTAGGCGAACTGATTCTGTTTTTTGTCTAGAAATATAATTATAAAAAGATTAACTAACAAAACTATAAAGATTTGTAAATGTTTAATGACAAAGAGATGATGGAAACTACAAAGCCATTTAAACGCACCGGCTCCATAGACTTCGACTTCACTGAAAGCAAAAACACTGTCTTGTTCTTCTACATCTTTCTGGATGATAACGAATCTACTTTTTTGCTCCGTCCTGGTGCAGTTAATGCTGATCGCATCGTGTTCGTTGCAATTACCTAAACTCATTGGATATTTTCCACATTCAACTGATTCCAGCTTTGACGAGTTGAGATGCACAACAATTTTTCCTAGGGTTTAGTGAACTTTATTTAACAAGATACCTTTACAAACATCGAAATTAATTTTCAGTTATGTAGAAAAATAAAAATAAATTAAATTAGTAATTTCAAACTTTAAAACAAGTTAAAAAATATTTATAAAGTTTTTACAACATTTTAATGAAAGACAGAATGAACATTTTAGATTTAATTCGATAAAAAATCACAGAAGGGTAAAAAAATTAAATTGTTTATTAACTTCGGCATTGATGGTCGCAAATCCTAGGATAAATAACGATTTTTTCTATCGGATATTCATCTTCCAGATCAACTGCCATCCAGCCATTAAAAGAACTAACTGAACTCTTCAAATAAAGCAAACTTACAAACTCCCACTCCATCATATTTCCATCCACTGTATACTCCCAGTTTGATGTTATTAAATATGCTTCATCTAAAGATGAAGCGGAAAAATCATTTCTATCAAAAAGTTCTGCTGTTATCTTCTTACCAAATGCTAAGTTTACTGTTTTTGGCAGAGCTGTAAAAATTTGTGAGTTGTTGATAACTATAAAATGTTATGATACCTTTGTTAAAAAAAACTCTTACAAAAATGTATTATATTAAACGAACAGAATCATTGAAAATTAAAATTTCTTACGTGAACACTTTGAAAAATGTTCTTTGTAATAGTTTTCCTGGCAAACACATTCAGAATATTCCTTCCCCAGAGCAACTGTTTTGCGACAGGTTAACGGCCTACAGACATCAGAGTTGGCTGAACAATCTAATTAATATAACAATATTTTCTTTTGTGAAATAATTAATTGTAACAAATAAAAAATACAAAATTGAATAATTATTAGACACAATTGAATTTAAAACAAAATCATTAGAGCAGAAAGCACAGTAAAATGCAAAGAAAAAAGAAGATATTGCACGAGGAGTGCTTGAGTGGTTGATGAAAGTAAGGAAAACTTGAGAAAAGCCATTGGAACAAAATTTGAAAAATTAGAAGTTCCTTTGTTTTTCACATCCTCATCGGAAACCTGCCCAATTGAGAAAGAAGGACATACGGATTGGAAGCATTTAAACTGGAGTGCTGCGAAAGGTTGTAGGGGACAAAAAATGACAACGGCGTCTTGAAAAACCTGCTTGAAAAATACGAATGTACAAACCGAAAAACATTTTCAAAATCAGAAAAAATAAAATACCTCTTTCTCCACATAAAACTCCAATCCAGCCTGCCTCGCACTCTGTGCATTTGATTCCATCGATTATTTTGCATCTTGATTGGCGTGAGTAAGCCGTTTGAAATTCAAAGTGCCTTACCGCTATTTATTAACGTTACAAACGTTACTAACGTCACATAAAAACTTGCAATTAAATTACAATTACTAAAAATTACAGTATTTATCAATACTTTTAAAATCAAATCCACTTTTTTTTAAGCTGAAACTAGGTTCTAGAGCACACACTAAAAATGTCAATTTTTACTATTTTTATTAAAATAAAATCAACAAAATCTAAATAGAACAAAATGTATAAAAGAATACTTGTTCTTCTTGGCTGGCAATTTTTTCCAGAACACATCTGATGATCACTTCCAGGACATTTAACATTACAATTGGACAAACCTTCCGAATTCGACAAACATTTAATTGCAGCAGTGTCGTCAGATGGTTTGGAACAATAACACAGGGGTTCATTACCTGGTTCGTTCTGTATCAGAAATAGTTGGGTCGAGTTCAACTTTTAAATTTTAAGGAATAAAAATTTTTTTCCTAAAACTATATTTTTTAAGTTTGATCAACTATTCTCAAAAATTAGTCTATAACTTTCAATTGTACAACTTATTTCCATTTGGAAAACAGTCATAGTTTAACTAAAAATATTTAGTTGCCCGTCACCACCATTAAAGGTTTTAATAGAATAATTCAGTGAGCTGGTTCGTGTGAACCTTTTAAATGTAATTTTTTTAAATTTTAAATGTTTCAACAAATAACAGCAATAAATTATCAAAAAAACCTTCAATGTAGCATATGGAAGATTTCTTTCAAAGCATATTGAAATGCATTTGTCGATTGTTAACTCTAGTACAGAAACTTGCGAATGATTGCTAGTGCTAACGTCAAACTCATCTAAGCTTACCAGAGATTTGCTGAAATCCAATCTTTCTTTAACTGATGAAATTTAAATTAATCTCATTTATCTTTATCATTACTTTAACAATTCCGAAATCTTATTTACATCGCTTTAATTCTGCATTCAACTGATTCTTTTTTATTTTAAATATTTCAACGGTAAATAACAAAGTGAATAACTTTGAAAAACAGAGAAAAACTCGAGGCCGCCGCAACGATCGTGATCATTGGGACACTTCCTGTCACAATGAGATGAACTGACTGGATATTTTGCACTACTCAGGCAGTGGCATGCCTCACCTCTCTGTCGTTCAACGTTTTCAGATTTTCATTCAAATTTTAGTTATCCTTACTTACAAATCATCAAGAACCTACTTGCAAGCCAATCATGAAAATGTTCTTCACGGACAAACAGAAGCTCTTGCAATCTGTATAGGATTGAACAGGCGTGGTCTTCTCAATGACAACACTCCAGTAACATCCAAGATACATGACACCTGTCCCAACTTCGAATTGAAAAATTGTTGGTTTGGCAATCCAAACAAAACGCACAAACAATACAAATTTTACATGTATTTTTAAATTTTAATTTTAGATGTAATTTAAATTAAACATTTTGGTTTCTATATAATTATTGAAGTCTATGAAAACATACTTGGAAGATATCCCCATTTTTTAGACTCTTTGAATCCGTCTGGAATTCTACACTTAGTTAAAGTTTTACGATCAGAATATTCTATTTTTACACAAAGATTGTAACCACAGTCACCATTGTTTACTTTACAATCTGTTCCAATCACGATAGATTTAAATATAAAAAATGTTCAGTAGTAAAACGAAACAAAAAACTGAAGGGTTTCAAAGCAGTTTGAATTAAAGTCAACGTTACTTAACTCAATGTAAAAATCATTTGAGTTTTTATAATAAGTACATTTAGGATCGTGTATAAAATCTCATAAATTTTGAATTTATTGAGATCAAGATGAAGAAGACGTAGAATTGAACATACGTTATATAAAAATCACAGACAGTGGGTTCAAACATAGCGAAATGAATTTAATTGAGTCCAGAATGTAAAAACTTCAATATATCGAACTGAGATTAACGAAAGTACCTCGAATATCGCATAGTTCTCCTTTCCATCCGCTTTTGCATGCGTTGGATCGGCATCCAGTCGAGTCGATACAAAAATTATTTTGAGGTCTTTCACGAAAATCAAACCTGCCATAAACTTAAAATTAAGAAAAAAGTTAATAAAAGAATTTCGGCATTTACTTCTACTACTGCTACTTTTACTACTACTACTACTAATAATAATAATACTGTTACTACTACTACTACTAAAAATACTTCTGCTAAAAATACTCAAAGGCATCTGGAAAAATAGGGAGGAGGAAGCAATTGCCACCATTTTAAGCCGGGCTGGAAACTTTTTTCGTTAAAGTAAGTTTTTCAAGAAAACGAACCAAGTATTTTAAATGATTTGAAATCATCATTTTCAATCATATATGTATCACAATAACATATATAGGAACTTTTTTATTATCGTTACATATACTATGTAAAAGAGTCCCGTGATAATTTTATGACCTATGACCAATGAAATTTTCATCAACCAAAAAAATTTGCAAATTTTTAACGTCTTTTTCTCATTATAATATACCCTTATACTTTTTTGCGTTTTACACATTCTTATTATCGTGGAAATAATTTCATTAATTATATTTCAGAAATATGTTATAATAATTTTTCGTAGAAACACTTTTTATTATTTTGTACAGTAGTACTCCCTACTAACGACTTTAGAAATGTCATAGAAATTTGGTCTTAAAAGGGAGGTTTTGTGGTTTTTGTGCACACTCAAAGCTTTGTATACCCTCAGTATGTTGATGTCAGAACTCGGATGATTGAGGAAGGGTCTATGGGTGGGTGCATGCAGAAAGGAAAGTACGTTACCAATGTGGAAGGTGTCGTGCATTATTTTTAAGTCATCTATACAAATTTAGTCATCTATACAATATATATAACTAACTATAGTTAAAGTTACTTAATGATATCTATCCCCGTGTAACATACCGTCACGGAAATGGCACGTTTATTGTATATTTGAAATGAAATGTTTGTTTCAATATTATTATTTCTCTTGTTTGTTAAAAAATAAAGTTAGTTAAATGTTTCTCATTACTTGCTTACCTTCTCATTACAAAAAGATCAATCATATAATCTGGGACCACCGATCTGTTGTTATCAAAAAAACATCGTTAGATACGTCAATGAGTTGTGTTCACACTTTCGATTGAATATCTAAATAATTTTAAAACAACGGGGAGATTTTTGCCTCCAACATAGACGCTCTTGCTATTACTATTTCTACTACTAACAATATAATAATTATAATAACAATAATAGCAACAATAATGAGTATACAAATACTTCAAAACTGTTTGAAACTAATAACTCCAACAGAACAGAGCTTACGACTGTAGAGCGAATAGCGATTGCTGGCACCACATGATTTTTTAATGTCATCCGAACAAGTTATCACGCATTCGCTTATTGGAACCTGCCCACTCACGTTGGACGCGTAAACACACAAACACTTGGTGTCCTGTTGTTGCGTGTGTAAACAACCATGTGTAAAAACAACGTATGGTTGTGCTAATGTATGTGTGTGCATGTGGTGGGAATGTTTGTTAGTAGTAGAACGCATCACCCATCAACACAAAGAAAAAAAACAATGACTGAAAAATGGTTTTAGGTCTATAAAAAAAAGTCGTTGTAGGAGTCAACCTTTATAGCAAAATATTTGGCGTAAAGTTTCTTGCAGTACAAAAAGCAGGACCCGTATGCTAATTCCTTTATCAAGTTGATGGGTGAATTTGACATTGCCTCTAAGTTAGTATCTTTGAAGCATCCCACCAGTGGTACTGAAAACACCCTCCTGCCTGAAAATGGCGTATTTCAGCAACATAAATAACATCGATAAGGAATATCATGTTGAATTTATATCCAATATAACTCTAAAGAACATATTTCAACTTTGTAATATATGAAAAATATGTGAACAATAAATTTTTTTAAATGTTGCCCACCAGAATAGACGGGAAAATGTGTTTGACAGTCTTCTGGGTGATCCCCGTCATGCATGAGATCAATATCCAACCCGCAGTAACAGGTGCCACCCTTTAAAAAATGAACATATTACATATACAAAAAATGATCACTAAATAACGCCCAGCAGCCGATAATACAATGCACACAAGCGTGCCGCAACAACTAAAAACTATAATTGTGAATAGCATAGATAAAAACAAACAATTAATATTTAACTAAATAATAATAAAGGCAAAGGTGATCCATTGAACTGTTCATCATATCGGGTATACGTCTCTTAAAACACTCTCTGAAAATTGTCGAGAAATCATTGAGAAAAAATTAACGTCGTGCATCACAATCGGAAATTATCAATTTGATTTCCTAGAGGGAAATCAACAATTGATGCAATTCCCATCTTTCGGAAACTGCAAGAAAAGTACCTCGCAAAGCATCAACAACTATCACACATTTTTTTATCAATCAATCAATCAATCTTCGTTTTGCGTCCAGAGACCCGGTTTCCCGAGGTAGGACGTTGTTTTCTTTGCCATCAACTTTTTGCGCCAAATTAGACGATCAGTTGTATCCATTTTATTTGAATTTAGAGTTTTCATGTCTTGCTCGATTGTTTGCGACCAGGACTTCTTTGGACGGCCTTTGGGACGTGTGCCAGGTACTTCAGCATCTGCAAGAGAAGTTATGGCACTGTTTCCACTTCGATTGACATAACCAAACAACCGCAGACGGTGTTGCCGGCATTCGTCCTTTATATCATTTATACCAGCACGACGAAGGACTTTGGTAAATTTGATGTGGTCGTTCAAACTAATTCGTTGCATCCATCGGAGCATTTTCATGTCGGTTCAAGTGGTTTTTCCAGTTTGGTTGTCATTGGCCATGTTTCTGCACCATATAACAACACCAGACGTATCACAGATTTATAAAGTCTTCATCGTAGTGGTAGTGGGATGTCACGCCGCATCAATATAGAGGCAAGGAGATGCCATTTATTCCAGGCTGCACGTATGCGTGCTCGAACGGCAGCTTCAGCTGTTCCAGTACAATCCAGAACATCCCCTAGATATTGAAACGAAATGACTTTTTCTACCTTAATGGCTTCAAAAACATTGCTATTTCAAATTTGTTGTTGTGGATTGATGCAAGCAGGACAAACAAAATTGGACACTTTAGATAGAGTACCAATTATTTTTGAACAACGTTTGTGACACCACTGGTTACACTGCTGACACTTGATTGAATTGTTACCTACACAAGTTTTACAAACTGAACAGGGTCATCGTCAAGTAGCTGTGGATTGGATGGGTTCACCAGTGTTCATTGCTTTGGTTTTGCTGATGTTGACTTTGAATCCATGATCGGCGAGTCTGTTGTTCCAATCTTCAAACATCTGTGCTGCATTCTGCTCAGACGTGGCTGTTAAAACGATATCATCAGCATATATTAGATTCCAAATGTCACTAGTGCGTATCGGTTTTGTGATTTCTTCCATCACAGTTATAATAACAGTGGACTGAGAATCAAGCCTTGGTGAACTCCAACGCCGATGTCAATGGCATCTGTGTTTCCAACCGTTGTGCTGACAAAAGTCTTAGTATTCGTATACATTTCCATCACAAGTTGAACAAGATATTCTGGAATGAGTTGTCGACGTAGACTCCAACTGATTGCTTCACGGGGAACTCGATCAAATGCTTTTTCAAGATCTACAAAAATGTGTGATAGTTGTTGATGCTTTGCGAGGTACTTCTTTTGCAGTTGCCGACGAAAGATGTGAATTGCATCAATTGCTGATTTCCCCGCTAGAAAACTAAATTGATAATTTCCGATTGTGATGCACGACGTTAATCTTCTCTCAATGATTTTTTTGACAATTTTCAGGGAGTGTTCTAACAGACGTATACCCCGATATGATGAACAGTTCAATGGATCACCTTTGCCTTTGTATAGCGGGACTGTCATGCTATAGTTCCATTAAGTCGGCATTGAGCAATTTCTCCCGATTTCACGGCAAAGTTGTGGTAACGTTTGGATACCTGCAGTACCAGATGCTTTGATAATGTCATTTGTGAGTCCAGAAGGCCCTGCTGCCTTCCCATCTTTCATAGCTTTCAGAGCTTCTTTAAGCTCCTCTACAGTGATGTCTGGAATTGGACCTTCGATGGGTAGAGCGTCAAAGTTAACATTGATGGGATTTGTTTAGTTTAACAGACGATTGAAGTATTCTCTCCACTGTAGCTTGATCTCATCTTGTTCAAGAACCATCTCATTTTTGTCGTTTTTGATACATGAGGCACCAACTATGTCTTTTTTCGTACGCTTTGCTTGTTTTGCTATACGATACAGAGATTTCATTTGTTCATCTTTGCTTTTAGTGAGCCACTTTCTGCGCTGATCTGTCCGAGCCAGTGCAACTTGACGTCTTGCATAGTTGTTCTTCTCACGGAAAATTTTATGGTCATCTACAGACTTTGATTTTTGCCATTGCTTGTATGCAACTTTCTTTTCAGCTAATGCATTTTGTACACTGAGATTCCACCACCAAGTCTCACGTTCATTCTGACGTTTTGTACCAGTTTTCCCACAAACTGTAGTTGCAGCGTTCATCAAAACGGTTTTGTATGTACTCCAATCTGTACTGGCTTGCGATTGGTGGTCCTACTATGTGGCCACAATCTGTTGAAATTTTTCTCGAGTACCATAGAGGGGTCATTCTGAATTTTTCTGCAACATCCCTCCGCTATTGCATACTTCCCAGGGATGCTTGGCACTCCTTGACCACTTAATGCCTGCTGGGGACTAGAGGCCGTTGTTTTTCTTTGTGAATGAATAATTTGGGGAAAAGTTTTTACATCCGGACACCCATCCTGACGACAACCACCAGTTATAAGCGGTGGGCCTAGCCTTTCGCTCAAAAGCACGCAAGGCAGCAAGGATGCAGTTTTATGTCATGCCCAGAACCATGTCATGCTCAGGACCAGTTGAATGTGGCTTTAAATAATCATTAAAACGTAATATATGTTATAACTAAAACATTGTAATTTTGATTATAAATTATATTTTTAACATGTAATGAAAAATTGATTGAAACGCCATAGGCCGTTCTATTTTATTATTATTATTTTATTACGTTAAACAAAGGCGAAGACGAAGAGTCCCTGTGCCTTCTCAAAACTAAGACAATTTTAAAACAATAAATTAAATAAACCTATGAGTCTATACTGAATAAAATAATTAATGTTCTTATAAGTCAAATAATGTATTAAACCTTGTAAAAAAATAATAATAAAAAAACAAATATAAATAAATTAATCACATATCCTTATCAATAAATTAACGATTATATCGATACATACTGACAAAAAATTCAAATATATCCCAATCTCACAAATAGCCAATGTCACATCAAATATCAGTTGCCCTCCAATCATACATAAACCTGGCATTCATGAGATAATTTTGTTAATACTAATTGAAGCAATTTTAATGTTTTTTGGTCACACTTTGGCCCTAAAGATCTAAATTTTATTAAATTTCTGTAATTAAATCAGTCAATTTTTTAATTTTTCCATTGAAATAATTTTGCTAAATTTGCATTTGCTTTTTCTAGCTCTTTTCTATAAAACTCTCTACTTCTTTCTCTAACTGCTTCATCACTTGTGAAGTTCAGAGCAGATCTCAAGATCCATCTGTTTGCAAAATTCACTGATGAGCGCTGTTGAACATCGCGAAATAGCGCTCTACAAGCTAATTGATTAATTGAAAAATATAGCGTAAAACATTAATTAAATGTATGACTTATTCGTAAAAAGTTCAACACTGATAAGTAATAAAACGTTTGAATACTAACAGAGGCGTAAAAAAGATACAAAGTTACAATTTCCACAAAAGAGTAATTTATTTCAATGTTTGTGTCAGTTGCAACAATTTTTGTATCATTTTGTAACAAATCCAGCCTCCCACCATAGCCAAAAATGTATTTATTTTATTTTATTTATTACGCAACTGACAAAAGGACCACACAGACCACTTGCCCGGTCAGAAAAAAGAGCAAACAATTACAATTAAACAAAATGGCAAAAAATGAAAAAAAGATTAATACATTTTAATGATTGTACAAATTTGTATGAGCCACAAAAAAAGGTTTTAAACTTCAAAAACATCGTACAGCAAATGTTTCTGATAATTATGATAAATAAATTATTTTGGCAACTACCTTTAATGCAAAAACTAATTTCTTATCGTCAAATTTTTCACAAGCATCTTGACAAGAAATGAGGCTCGATTGAGAGGAAGTAAGCGTCGCATTGTAAAACTCAAAACATCCAATGAAGTCAACTAATTGACGAATGCCATCTTCTGCTTGGTATATATTTACATTAATTTAAAGATTGTCAAATGCAATGAACAATAAAATTAAAGTGAATATAATCGGAAACAGTTGATATAAAAATTCATATTTTAAGCAAGAAATTATAATCAAGAAAAAAAGGTCGTCAGCTTAATTATTACCACATCACCACAAACGTTGGCCCCCGGTCATCATTTAAAGGTTTTTAACATTTTTGAAAATTCCCCCTTGCTCGAGTAATTTCTCACTTTTTCACATAATGATGTTAAAATCGGGTAATGGAGCTTGTTTTCTCACCCCTTACAAAATTCAACAATCCGGGGTTCGTGCGAAACAGCCAAAACATTATATCCAATTTTTAGATCCTTATTCCATTATTCGAGTAAATATTCCAAAAAAGAAATATTATTTTGGACGAAAGCTTCAAATGCCAATTTTAACAATGCACTGTGAAAATAAGATTATTTTTTTCAAACTCACCTTCGTAGACTTCAAGTTCTTTTATTCCAAGACCCAAATTTATTGTTCTTGGTTGTATGATGACATAACGACCAGTTTTTTTTCCTTGGCAGGTAACTCTCATCGGAAGACCCGCTCTACGTACCTCAGTAAGTATGCCGCATAATTCGTAGCTGCCTATTTTGAATTTTGTTGCAAGCTCCAGTGTTTCGTTGAGACCTACTTTCAGGTCTTTTACACGGTCCACTTAATTTGATGTTATTAATAGCGTTGTTATTAAAAAAATATTTTTACTATATTTTTATGATGAATCATTTTTTATAGAGATTTGAAAATGCCTATACATCTATACATTGTTGTGCAGAGCCGGATTAAGGCTCTGTTGGCCCTAAGGCACATTTTTATAAGTGGCCTGAAAATATATTACAATACAATACAATACAATATTTTATTTGACTTCCAAAAAAATAAATATACTGTATCGAAGAATTTTTTTTAATTTTCCAAATTAAAAAAGGTAAATAAGTAATTTTGTGATAATAATTACAACTAAAGTCAATGCAAAATACTTTTTGTGGCCCTAGTCTACTTTTCGGCCCTAAGACACGTGCCTTGTTTGCCTAATGGTTAATCCGGCACTGGTGTTGTGAAGTAGATTGTTACCATAACACGTTACTGTAATTAAGTTACTCAAAAATTGTAGCTAGTTACAGTAATTATTACTTTTAAAAAATAGTAATTAGTTACTTTTTGAGGTAACTAATTTCGAGTAACGCATTACATTTGCAAATTACATCTGTGATGAGACGTTAGAAAAATTATTAGATTAAGTTTGAGCATTATACTTTGCAGTCACATAGCTAACTACGCTCTTACATAGTTGTTTGCGTCTGCACATACTTGCGTACATGCAGAGCCCGTGGTCTAAAAAGGCTTGAGCTTTGGACGGAAAATTTAGGAATTAAGAAAACTAATAAACATAGAAAATAATGACAAATTAATATAAGCAGGACGATCTGTGGCGCTTAAGTGGTATATTGTCATATTATTTGCTGTTTTGTGCATAGTTAGCAAGAACGTAGTTAGCAAAAATAGTTTTTGTAATATTATTGTAAATATTAAATTTTCCATCTTTAAAACATATTAAAACGAAAGAATTTACTAATTATTTACAATGGTTTTTCAATCATCACCACACGGAAACTCTATAGTACTTTTTGGGCACTGAAGTTACCTATCCTTAAATTTTGTATCAGCTGCTTCATCTATACACTATTATGACCTTCAAAAAGTCAATAAACTAAATAAATAAAATTTTATTTAGAATCATTTTAAAATTTAAATTTGTTAGAGTTATTCTACCGTATTTGACATTAAAAGATCATTTTATTAAAACAAATTCAAAGCAGATTTTCAATCACCATGTTTTGTTATCTATAGGTATTAAACACAGGTGTGGAGTGGTGCTCAACTATGCAACATCTATCTTAGTGTTTCTTGTGAAGTTTATTTTAGTTGAAAATAATATCTAAAAATCAATTAATAACTAATGTAGCGAAAAATTCTTTTAAATGAGAACGGAAGGGATTATTTCTAATAATTTTCTGTGCTTGTAACAAGTGTTGCATGAAATAACATGTTTCGCCAGCAAAGACTTCTATATAAAATTTTATAACAAGTTGTGCGAGTTGAAATTTTGACGGCATTTTAGACTTCACGAATTATATTTATTTAAAACTTTTACTAGAGATTTCTATAAATATGTGAAACATCATATTTAAACTAACAGAATTTATAATTCCACCTATTGTACAATTCAACGTATCCAACTTCGTACACATCCTCCAAGTCAACAATAATCCATTCTTCTTCATTTCCGGGATTACTGCTAGACAAATGAATCATACCCTCGCCCAATATCCGCCCGTCAACCAATTGTTCCTTACTGAAATCTCCGTAGTCAACGGTAAATAAATCAGTTGATAATACCAATTTTTTGAAAGCAAGATTTCTTTTATAATTTAATCCTGCAATTTTTTTGTATACTTATGTTTAGAAATAAGTTTTACATTTTGTTATTTTTAAATTCTTCATATTTGATCATTAAAATTATATATATTGTTACAGTTAAATTTCTTACATTATATCTCGAAAAATCAATTTTTTGTTAGGTAACTACAATGACCCTTTTTCAGTTTAATTCTTGATTAACTTTCGACCCCTCACTATTTAGCTCTATAATCACATTTGCACGAAACTTTTATACGTTTTTGTAGAAAACACTCTGAGATTATTAGCAAAATATTAAAGTCTGATCTGTGCTCCCATTTCGTTAGCTCCCATGCTCCCATGTTATGAAAAACTTTTTGTAAAACATTTTATAATTGTTGTAATATCAAATAATAACCTTCAATGCTGTTGTTATAAAAAAAGCTAAAAATATTTTCAAATATTTAAATTTTAAAATTTAAAAAACGTTTTTTATATAAACGCTTGCTGTATATTTCACATCATTTATGGAACTTTGTTGGCACAAAAAACGTCCCCCTTTACTTAATTCGAAATCAATCTCAACCAACTTTCATTTTGACCAATATGAAAGCGACAATAAATTAGAGCAATAGGTAGAAGTCAAATATTTTTATACCTAAAAATTTATCCCTACAAGCAACTTTTTGATCAACTTCGCGAACCCCCAACAAATATTCATAATACATCATAGCCTGAAAATTCTTATACAAAAAATTTCGCCAGGTTTACAAAATATTTTGAAAAATAACTAATTCATTCAGTGAGTGAAATGAAAAACACTAAGGCATTATCTCGTTTTATGCCACTCAAGAATTTAAAACTAATAATATACTAAATAATATTTCATAAAAGACTACGTTTCAATAATTAGAGGGAAATTGACCTATAAAACCTATTGAGAGTTCTGTTGGTCATTACAAAAATAGAGCTATATAAAATTTGCAGTTGACTAAAAAATTAATTGGTTTAATGAAACATCTGTTAGTAAATCAATAATTAAGCTTCTCTCATCAAACTAATATGTTGAGATCTAGCCTTGGCGTTCTTTACTTCTTACTTCTGTCACCAGTTTGTAATCTCTTAAAGATCCCACTTCTAACACCAGTGTTGTAATCTTCTCGACCTCGTAACTACCGACACCGATGTTCAATACCCGCTATATCTCCAGCATCGTGTTGTCAAGAGTTCATTTATCCGCATGTTTAAGATTTCCGATAGATGAATTTTTGTACTTTAAACGCAAACTAAGTCGAACGTTTATTTAGTAGCTGCAATAATAGAAACAATAGATTAATCCAAATAACTGCGTAAATTACATTTACGACTTCTACGTCAACTGTTGTTCCGTTTTCTTCTTCCCTGTTCTTTTCTTGTGTTGCGTTTTCTCTTCAGTTCTCTTAATTCCCCCCTTCTTTTTCGTTGTTTTTAACCTTTTAATTAGTTTACAAGCGGTTCCTTCCTCAATGCATGCTTAACAATTTCTAACTAGTCTTTATCTCGGCCTCACGTCTGTAACAATATTTTGAAAAATAACTAATTCATTCAGTGAGTGAAACGAAAAACACTAAGGCATTATCTCGTTTTATGCCACTCAAGAATTTAAAACTTATTTTGATGAAAATAATATTTCATGAAAGACTACGTTTCAATAATAATTAGAGGGAAATTGACCTATGAAACCTATTGAGAGCTCTGTTGGTCATCACAAAAATGGTGCTTTATAAAATTTGTAGTTGACTAAAAAATTGATTGGATTAATGGATGATTGATCGAATGAACACGACAAACTTTCACAAGTCCCCTTTTTAGTCCTGTACTCATCATCCATGCAAACGCATTCCGTGTATGACGAGCCTCTGACTTGGATGTTTTTACATTCCATACCATCTCCACAATGATTCTCAGAACTCGAGCAAACTATTTTAATGTTAAATAATTTTAAATAAAATGTTAAACAAATTAAAATTTTATTATTCTAATTATCATCTAATAGTTTTTGAGCTTAAAATGCCGAATGACTATTATTTATTTATTTATTTAACAACTGACCAGAGGGCATCAAGATGTCCCTTACCCAGTCAGAAAAAAATGAACTAAATTCAATCAATCAATTAGTTTATAAAGTGCTATTTCCGCGATGTTCAACAGCACCCCCCAATGAATTTTGAAAACAGATGGGTCTTGAGATTCGCTCTGAACTTCGCAAGTGATGGAGAAGTAGTCAGAGAAGTAGGTAGAGAGTTCCAGAGAAAAGGACCAGAAAAAGCGAGAACAAGAAGACGATCGTAAATTGGGGCGTTTAGGTTTAATTAATATATCTGATAAATACTTAGGAAATAATTTAGATTGAGACTGGTACATAAACGTGCAAACTTTAAAAATTATTCTATATTTTATAGGTAGCCAGTGCACGAGAACAAGATATGGAGATATATGAGAAAAGAAAGGGGCACGAGCAACTAGACGAGCAGCAGAGTTAAAAGCAGAAAGTTAAAAGTTAATTCAACATAAATGGCAGAACAGAAAAAAAGAAAATGTTATAATAAAAATGAGAGATACTATTTATCATCACTTCTAATATGTCAGTGTTCGATTAACCTAATGAACCTAATAAACTTTTCAACCTTAGAATAAAACACTTAATGTTGTAAATAATGTAAAGAACGTGAAAACAACATCGTCATTTTTAATCTTGCGGAAAGTGTAAACAGTGTGAAAGATAAAGGTTTCGTCTGATTGAAGCGCCATTCGCGCACAATAACTTTTTTCAACATAATATCAGGATCCTTCATCTTACAGGCATCTGAGCTATCGATGCAAACTCTGAACATTGTTGATTCCTGTTCATTTTTGTCAAATTTTAATTTGACGATGTCTCTGATTATTTCAAAACGGGATAACACGTGATAACATTGATTCCATTTGATGTCAAAAATTCAACAACATCTCTTCGATGGCATTTACTAATGTTGCTCATTGAGAACACAAATTTTTTAATTAAATTTTTGTCTACTCTCAATTTAAAATCTTCAATAACTTTTTTGACAATAACTTTTGTTGTTTTTTAGCTGTGTTGATGTTTGCCGTGTTTTCGTTGTTGTTGTTTGAAGTGGTTTCGCCGTTGTTGTTGACCTCCAATGAGACATTCAAACGTGGTCGTTTGTTATGCCGCTTCACCAACGTGAACGCTTCGTCCAGAGTGGGTGATGACACGACGTCCGCCCACAAAATTCCTGGCGCATTTTGATTAATTGGTGGCAACGTGTTATTTACATTATTTAAGCTTACTGACTCAGCGTTTACTTTTCTACTAACATTGTTTGTGTTTGCTGAATTTGCACACTGTTTATTGTTTAAAAAATTCACGTGTTGTTGTTGATGTTGGACAGCCAATGAATCCAGTTTAATATTTACCGCTGCAAGTTCCGCGCTATGTGTATCTAATGTTGCACGGATGTCCATCTGTTGTTTATTTATAATTTCTTTTATTTCTTTTTTAATTGTTTCTAAATTAATTTTCATCCAATTTTCAATTTTTGGAATTGTTGACATATTTGCGCTAACAAATATAGCCAAAGTATCGAATAAATTGTTACCTTTCGCGTATTTTATTAACGAAATGCATTCCAGCAACTTTTCTTTTTTTGTTGAACCCCGAGAGGAAATTTTTTTTTATTTTGTCATTTTTCAGTTTTTCCAATTCATTTTTCACAATTTTTGCAGCAGAAACAATTTCTTAGTTCAAAAAGCATTCAACAGTGTTATTAACAAAACTTTCGTCATCTAAAAAATCCAAATTATTTGACAAAAAGTAGAGCAATTCGTTAATAACAACCTGTCTTGTCGCCATTTTTCCTAACATACGTACTAATAAACATGTATTATCAAATTTGCAAAATCGATGCAGCCAATACAGCCATCAAATAAAACTAGGCTTGTATATTAAACATCCTATTCCTGTTGGAATCAATCAATCAATCAATCTTCGTTTTGCGTCCAGAGACCCGGTTTCCCGAGGTAGGACGTTGTTTTCTTTGCCATCAACTTTTCGCGCCAAATTAGACGATCAGTTGTATCCATTTCATTTAAATTTAGAGCTTTCATGTCTTGCTCGATTGTTTGCGACCAGGACTTCTTTGGACGGCCTTTGGGACGTGTGCCAGGTACTTCAACATCTGCAAGAGAAGTTATGGCACCGTTTCCACTTCGTTTGACATGACCAAACCACCGCAGACGGTGTTGCCGGCATTCGTCCTTTATATCATCTAAACCAGCACGACGCAGGATTTCGGTAGATTTGATGTGGTCGTTCAGATTAATTCTTTGCATCAATCGGAGCATTTTCATGTCGGTTCGTTGAAGTTGTTGTTCCAGTTTGGTTGTCATTGGCCATGTTTCTGCACCATATAACAACACCGGACGTATCAAAGATTTATAAAGTCTTGATCGTAGTGGTAGTGGGATGTCACGCCGCATCAATATAGAGGCAAGGAATCAATTGTTGATTTCCCCGCTAGATAACCAAATTGATAATTTCCGATTGTGATGCACGACGTTAATCTTCTCTCAATGATTTTTTTGACAATTTTCAGGGAGTGTTCTAACAGACGTATACCCCGATATGATGAACAGTTCAATGGATCACCTTTGCTTTTGTATAGTGGGACTGTCATGCTATAGTTCCATTAAGTTGGCATTGAGCAATTTCTCCAGATTTCACGGCAAAGTTGTAGTAACGTTTGGATACCTGCAGTACCAGATGCTTTGATAATGTAATTTGTGAGTCCAGAAGGCCCTGCTGCCTTTCCATCCTTCATAGCTTTTAGAGCGTCTGTAAGCTTCTCTATAGTGATGTCTGGAATCGGACCTTCGATGGGTGGAGCGTCAAAGTTAACCATGATGGGATTTGTTTCGTTTAACAGACGGTTGAAGTATTCTCTCCACTGTAGCTTGATCTCATCTTGTTCAAGAACCATCTCATTTTTGTCGTTTTTGATACATGAGGCGCCAACTATGTCTTTTTTCGTACGCTTTGCTTGTTTTGCTATACGATACAGAGATATCATTTGTTCACCTTTGCTTTTAGTTAGCCACTCTCTGCACTGATCTGTCCGAGCCAGTGCAACTTGACGTCTTGCATAGTTGTTCTTCTCACGGAAAATTTTATGGTCATCTACAGACTTTGATTTTTGCCATTGCTTGTATGCAACTTACTTTTCAGCTATTGCATTTTGTACACTGTCATTCCACCACCAAGTGTCACGTTCATGCTGACGTTTTGTACCAGTTTTCCCACAAACTGTAGTTGCAGTGTTCATTAAAACGGTTTTGTATGTACTCCAATCTGTACTGGCTTGCGATTGGTGGTCTAACTGTTAGACCACCAATCCTGTTCCTGTTGGAACAGAAAAAAATATTAATTGATACAAATGGTGTTGAGCATTTATTGCATATGTTTTTATTAATGACCCTTTCAACGTTAAGCAATTTAAATTAAAGTAAACATTTTTTTTTCTTGAAAATTTTAACGGCACTGCAGTTCCCAAGATGGTGCTATAATGTGCCAGTAATTTTAATATTTTTTTTCTTAATTTTTATTTTATTTATTTTATTTTTCATAATTATGTAATTTATGTATAATTATGTTTATTATATCTAGAAACGCTGTTTTTAAAGGTTGTTTAGAAAAATTGCAAAAACTGTAATTTGTTAAATACATTTTTTCAATAACATTTTAGAGTATCGTTAACAACACCAGTCAACAGTAATTTCAACAGCAAAACAGTTAGCTATTCTATGAAAAAAAAATTTTTTAACCTGACACATTACAGTACTGTCCATTCCAGCCATTCGCACATTTTTCACACGGACTTAAATCCTCATTTCCAGAACTGCAGTGGCTTAAATAAGAAACTCCAGCATGTTGCTCGACTTGGTGCCAGGCTGTAAGCAATAAATAACAGTTGAAAATAATAGAATAAAAACATCATTGCAAGAAAACGAAAACATTGTCAAAGATTACTATTACCTGTCACTTCAAGACAGTGAACGGGATAGTACTAAAATCAAGAAAGCCAAGTAGCTCATAAATCACCGGTGAATTACTCATTGCTAATTAACTCAACAGACAGTAAAATTAAAGGTAAGAGTAAAGATTTTCTCTTCTATCCTTTCTATTATCTATTCTGTAAGCAAAACAAAGATTTTGTATTTGTATTTGATGACTTGTATAGCGCCCCTCCAGAATGACATCAAAAGCGCTTGCATCGCTAGGGATTGTTGAATAGATGATTTTTTAAACGTTTCTTAAACATCCGTCAATCCATGCCGCTGAATCTTTTCAGATCTGTTGGCAGTGCATTCCAAATTTGAGCTGACGACACCAAAAATCTTCTTTTTTCAAAGCGTGAAGATTTGTGCTTTGGGATCACGAGATCTCCATTATCAAAAGATCTTAATATGTTTCTGTTTGTAATCTCGAACACTGGTTGGAGCTGCTCTCTCAGATAACATGGAGCCTCGCCGGCCAGTGAATCTCTGACAAGGAGAGCCAATTTAAACAAAACTCTATACGCAAAACGAACTATATGGAGAGACAGGATGTTGTTAGAGATTTGCTGTTTACATGAAGTTTGGCGGATAAATCAAAAAGACAGATAAATAAAGGAGCTAAAAATAGAATAAATTATTTTGGTCAAGAAATGATAAAGCTGAAACAAGTGTGGAAATGATGATAAGTAAACATTGTATAAATAAGGTGGTTGGAGTAGTATAGAGCAGCAACAGGTGCATGATAGTAAAACTATCAATTGGAGAAGTGTTGTTGAATGTAATTTCAAGATATGTTCCGCAAAGCGGTTGAAAAAAGGAGAATAAAGATAGATTTTAGAATGAGTTAAATGAAATGAGGACTGAGATGCTTAAAAAAAGAATAAGTGGTTTTAAGAGTGGAGATTTTTAGTCTTTATTATTGCAGCTCTGACATACGCAGAACCACTTACAATGTTGCATATATAGATTATGTTCTTCATATCTTTATTCATTGATATGAAGCAGCCATCTTCGCCACAAAGGCTGTTTATCCTTTTCACACGACGTACACATTTGTTTTTATGTGCACGCGCAAGCACCGCATTATATACGCTGAGTATATGATAGCCATTGAGAGGTTTTTTATTTGACTCAGCGCGCATTTGAACCACTGAAACATCTCGCCGGTCAAATTTAAATGGACATGTAAGAAAAAAATGTAATGGTGATGAACAAGTGCATGGTGAAAATGAGTTTGGGGAAAAAAGCAAAGATGATGAAAAAATTTTAGATTTTGGAATTGCCTGGAACATGAGAATTTACAACACTTGTCTTAAAATGAAACTAGGCTATTTAGTGACATATGAATCAGGAAAGGTCAAGAGCACAGTAGATTTATTTATTTTGGCAAAATGAGAAAGCCACAGATGCTTTTAAAATGTCAAAACCTTTTGTAAAAAAAATGTGTTAAACAGCATAAGCTCTTGGTATGTGATTAATACTTAGGCGGGAAGAAAAAAAAATTACAGAGCCAAGAATTAAAAATTGACAATTGAAAAAACTGAAAATCATGAAAGTATATCAAAATATGGTTCGAACAGGGGATAACATGGGTATGGAGCTAGATTAATAGAGGAGTTAAAAATAATGGATGTAGAAAAATCATAGGTTGAAAGGAAAAATAGTATGCTAAATAAACTGAGACAATATTCCAGTTAAGAAAAGGACTAGCACAACATAATGAAACATGGTGATGAAATGGAACGGTCGAAAGGGCAACAAGAGATAAAAAAAAGGTTATAAAAAATGGAAAATAACAAAAAACAAAGAAGATCATAGGGCATATCAAATTTCAAAAAAAGAAGGCTTAGGTGGAAATAGCGATAGCAAAACGAAAGTATTGCAAAGAATTTTCAAAAAAGCTCAGTACAGAAGACGGTAAGAACGCCGTTTACCGCATGGATAAGTCCGAAATATGAAGAGACAGGATGTTGCTAGAGTAAATTGAGTGAATGATAGTGTTTTAGACTTGGAGAGAAAAAAAAATTATAGAGGGAGTGTATGGAAAAACTGTTAAATGAAAAAAATGATTGGGACGGAGTTATCGATGCAAATATTAATGTGGCAGAAGTTGAGTATATAAAAAAAGAGAAGGTTGTAGGAGCGCAGAAAATGAAGACTGGTAACTTCCTTTAGAGTTCAGAGGATTCAACAAAGGGCACAAACATCGTATATGAATTCATGCTTAACAACGCATCCCACACGAAGCATGTAATAGGCGGAAATCTTTTTGTCATACTCAAACCTGGTTACTGCAAAACAGCACCAGGCGACCTTAACCATTAGACCATCACGCCGCCCAATTAAAGTATTATTGATGAAATTTTTATTGTTAGACAAATTCAAGAGCAGTTCAGAGCCTAGAAGAAAACTCTTAATAAATCTTATGTAGGTATGGAGAAACCTTATAATAAGGTTTCAAAAAAAGTGGTATGATGGGCACTTAGAAAGGCTAGGTTAAATTATAAATAGTAGACACAGTGATGCATATATGAAAAAGCCAGGACAACGGTAAAGATTACGATAGTGTAGGTAAGTGGTTTGATGTCTATGTGGGTTCACATCAGTCTTCGGCGCAGTCTTATACTTTTTTATTTTAGTAATGGAAACGGTTAGTAGAAAGATCAAAAGTGGGTTGTCATGGGAGAATTAACATTCTAATGACCTGATTCTTACGGCAAAGGGTGAGAAAGAACTGAAAAAAATTTTCAATGTAAAAAAAATATCCGTAGGAAAGAAAGGATTTAAACGTTAATGAAGGTTATGTGGAACGGAGAGGATTCAGATACTGTTGAACGTGATAAATTCCTTTGTGCGGTGTGTGGTTAAAGAGTCGGAAAAAATTCCATGTGATAAATGGACGAACAAATGACGTCGTCGTTTGATAGACCTCAACAAAAGAAAAAAAAACAAAAAATTTGTAAACGATGCAAGTTGAAAGACACCACTAATTGAAATGATGATATTGGGCCTCTGGAAAAATTAGGATATGAAAGGGTGGAGTCTTTTTGTTATCTAGGTGATGTACTAAGTAAAAAGTGTAATCGAATAGAGTGGTCAAAAATAGAATAAAAGTAGGATGGATAAAAATTCAGAAAAGTGATTTTAATGATGTGTTCTAGGGGTATGCCGTTGGGCCTGAAGGGTAAGGTTTACAAAGCATGTGTAAAAAGTTACCTGTGGAATGAATGTGAAACTAGGGCTGTGGCGGCTGAAAACGTAAAAAGGCTGGAGAAAACAGAAATGCCGATGTTGAGAAGAATAAAAGAGTATCCTTAAGAAATAGTCTAACCAATAAGGTAATAAAGAAAGGGTTAGGAATAGATGAGTCGTTGGATGTAATTAGAAATGTTAGACTGATATGGTTTGGCCATATGGAAAAGAAAAAAAAGGATTGGGTAAAAAAATGTAGAACAGGAGTTTTAAAGAAAAGTGGCAGACCCAAGTTCACCTGAGAGAAAGTGTTGTCAAAGGACATGAGGGCAGTGGGCCTGAAACCAGAACTGGTCCAGAATAGAGAAAAATGGAAAAGACGGTTAAATGTGCTTTATCATGCGACAAAGCCAACCGGGTTTTTTCGTCAACGAACCCTGGAAGGAACCCAGGGCGGCTTTGCCTCCCAGGTCTGAGCCCCTATAGACGTGCATGATGGTGTTGATAATATATATAAAGAAATTATCTTAAAAATAAAAATATCAGCAAAAATAATAATAACAATAAAAACAAATTGGAAAAACAAAATTGGTAATAACTAATTTATCAAACCATTAATTTCCGTTTATTTATATTCGGCTCTGATAAACAAAAAAACCTGTATTAGACTTACTTGAATACTTGGCCATGCAATCACAAATTTGTTTATCATCTCCAGGACATTTAGCATTGCATTTCGTTTTGAAGTGAAAAGGGTATCCGTCAGCATCATCATGATGAAGGTAACCACAATGACATTCGTGGCGACCCTTAATTAAACATTTATTAAAAATATTACACAACTTAAATTAATTTTTTAAAGCTTCTGGGTTTTCGTGTTTATTTCATTTAATTTATTATGTTTGTTAGTTGTCAGGTCAAAGATAGAGTATGCTGCTTCGGTGTAGTCTCCCTGGTCTTTGAAAGTTATAGAAGATATTGAACGGATTCAGAAGAGGGCCACAAGAATGGTGAAAGATTGTATTGGTCTCAATTATGAACAGAGATTAAGACTGAGGTATAGACGAATCAGAGGTGATCTTATCACAGTTTTCAACAAAACTAGGAACAGCGTATTACCATCGTGTTATCCTGTGTTAAAAAAACCTAACGATGATCGTACCAGGGGTCATCCGTTCAAGTTGTCTACTCATAGTTTTAACACGAATCATGGGAAATTTTGTTTTTCCAATAGGGTGGTTGAGTTATGGAACGGCTTGGATCGGACATTGTGATGGCTAAAGATGTTGAAACATTTAAAATGAAGTTGGATCGACATATGAATTCTACGGACATGATGTTCAACTGGAGATCCTCGCTTGGCACAATGTCATAGTTTATATATTTATATTATCTTTGACATCTTTGTGGATAATGTGTGTGTGTGTGTTTGTGTGTGTGGGCTAATGCGTGTGTGAGTGTGTGTATATATGTGTATGTATGTACACATATATATGTATACATAGATATTTATCATTAACAATCTGTATTTTCATCCAACTTTATTTTACTTCATTTATTTATTTTATTATTTTTAAAATACAATGGAAGCTTTTCATTTGATGGAGGCATAGGAACGTCAGTTCGCGCCTCTCTATTCTCTGTTTATGTTATATGTTATGTTATTGCTATTAATAAAAAATTGCTATAGTGAAACAATGTTTTACTCACAACGGTTTCATTGTGAAATACTGAGGCTATGTCATAATGAAGTTCCATGCACTTTAAAATACACTTTTCAGTTGTAAAACTTGTATCGCTATTTAATGTACGTCTATTTAGTATTCCATCATTTCCAAACTCTTTCACGTTCTTATTAAATGCTAGAAACGAGTGGTTGTAGTTTGTCGTTGCCTTGACTGAATTAAAAGTAATGAATTAGTGGAAGTAAATTGTGACCTCGTAAAAATTATAAAAATGATGAAATGAAATTTTGATCAAGTTAAACTATTTAGATTTTTTCTTCAAGACACCCAAAGAAGTAAAACGGAAAGCTCATAATAATTGTTAATAAACTTTCAATTTATCTATTTTATTTTAGACTAAAAAACTGTTCAATGTTAATAAATAACAACAACAATTATTATAATAATGTTAAAAAAACAAATTAATAATTATAAAATACGTTTATACGTTTATACGTTTATAATAATATGTATAAGGTGAAAACATAGCAATCAAAATAAAACATCAGAATTAAATAAATAAAACAATGGTGGTAAAATCTGACTGGAGAAAAGTGAGTAGTACTTATCTCCACCGCAACCATCTTCTCCACTTTTACATTTCAAATTGCAGAATTTAGAATTCACAGCGTACTTAGCCCTCGCCACGCAATAACATTCATTTCCTTCCTAAATTGAAAAAAAACATCTTTATTAACAAATTATTACTTTGTAATACAATTATTTCAAACGATATAAATTAAAATAATTTATAAAATAAGAAAGGATAGATTAGGATTTGATATTTGACTAAAAAACTTTAAAAATCTAGTTCGTTTTAAATATTAATAATTAATGAAAATAATTTTCAGATGCCAACACAAATGGAATGATATAATGAAAACATGGGCAGCAAACTTTCTATAAATATCCTACTCAACCACTGAAGGCACTCAAGTTTAGGGCTGCCACAGGTCCAAATGAGTTTGGACAAATTAAAATATTGAAAGTTAAAGAAAAATTAATGTCCGGAAATATAAAAAAATTGAACAAATTTAGGTTCTTGTTGATTTTGCGGGATAAAATGAAAGCGAGAGTGGTTAAAAGTTGTAATCAAAATCCCTCAACATAGCAGAAACAGAGTATATTGGACAATAAAGAGCTGCCCGGTTGAGTTGCAATTAATTAGCTTTTTTGATTACCTATCTAAGGCTACTTGTGTGATTTTTATTCAAAAATTTGTAATGTTAGAACTTTTTAATCATATTTCAAGTTGAACAGAACCCTTTCGTCAAATCTTAAATACTTCTCAACAAATAATACGACATAGTGGACAACTCCAAGTTTTAATTTGAACGTGCTTCAAACAAGAGGGCGATTAAGAAACGCTACTTATATCTTTAAAAAACAACGAGCTTGGAAATCGGTTTTAGAAATAAAATAATAAAATTCTTTCAACACTTCAGAGTCAATCACTTTCCTACACTCCTGTTGAATTTGAAAGTATATACCACGTAAATAACGATTGAAGGTATACAAAACAAATGTAATTAAAATTAATTTGAAAATATTGTCATTATTTATTTTAATTTTTGTTTTCATTCAATGGTCTTAAACAATTTTAGTATTATTGGGAGATAAGTTATATTTAAAACTAAAAGCAAATTGATATTTAGAGAAGGTACAAACATGCAAAGCTATGTAGGGCGTAACTTCATTCCGGCATAACATTTTACAGCCTTCGTAGGAGTCAACGATGCCAGCATTCACTGCAAGAACTTCTCGATAGCAGCCGATGTATGTTTCTGTGGCTTCTGAATGAATCAAAATATTCATTAACATTTTTAAAAGTTATCAAAAAAAAGAACCTATTATGTCAACTTTGTAACAGTGAAAATATAAATTTATATTATGTTATTAAACACCTTCGTAATAATTTTTTCTTACAACCATCATTTTAGCATTTCTCAGAAGTTTTAGCTGCATTATACGTGGATCAACAATATAAACACACTGCATGTGATAAGCGAAAAAAATCTTGAGTTTGAATCCAATCACTGTAACAGCAGTGCCAGGCATTTTAACCGTTACACCATCAATAAACCTAAACAAAAGTTAATTCTCTTCTTAAAAAATACCCTCATTCTTAAAACACATTTGAGCAATGTTATATATCAATACCCGCTTTCCAAACAAATATATAATCGATTCATTAAGGCATCATCCAATATATTTTTAAACCCATTTACTTCAAAAGCATTGACAACGCCCTTTCAATCAATCAATCAATCAACCAATTAGCTTATAAAGCGCTATTTCCGCGATGTTCAACAGCGCTCCTCAATGAATTTTGAAAACAGATGGGTCTTGAGATCCGCTCTGAACTTCGCAAGTGATGGAAAAGTAGTCAGAGAAGTAGGTAGAGAGTTCCAGAGAAAAGGGCCAGAAAAAGCAAAAGCAGATTTGGCAAAAGAGTGTGTAACAATAATAAATCCTAAATAAGATTAACGAAGTAACAAGAAAGAGAAGAGTAGGATCATCAAGAAGAAGCAGAAGTTTTTTTTATTCTAAGAAGATGAAAGTTAGAGATTCCAGCGACACTATTAATCTGAAAAGAAAGAGACACAGTAGAATCAAAGATAAAACCTTGACTACGAAACTTGTGAGAGACATCAAGAGCTTTAGAATCAGGTAGGATAATAGGAGGAAAAGTAATAGAGTGTTTAGATTTATTAAAACAAATTAATTCAAACTTGGAAGTAATAAGTTTAAGATTGGATATAATGCATCAACTGCAAGAATTGGTCACACAAGAATTGTAATACTTATATGCCATAACTGTGACAATGTTAAATAATTAATAATAAAAATATTTTTAATTTTTATGTTTTATTTCACATTTGTAACATTCAACCAGGACTGTGTAACAATCAACTCCGCCATGGGGCTGTTTGTTACATTTGGAGGACATTGCAATTTTTTAGTTTTTTCATTTATGGTAGAAAATAAATCAGTTTCAACTGTTTCAGTAAGTAAATTGTTTAATACATATAAAAATTTTTAACATAGTTGTTTTAAAAACAACAGTGTTATACCAAGATTATACCAAGATGAAAATTATAACATATAGCCCCACTCTTCCAAATTTATTTTATTTTTCACGTATTTAAACATTCTTCTTTCTTCGTTTTTTTATTTATTTATTTACTTATTTTGTTAAATAGGTCTCTGGACGCTAAAAGATGATTGAATGATAGATTGTTTAATTTTGTACTATTGCCTTGCATGCTGTAACAGTTTCTGGTTCTGTCAGATCCTGATTATTAAAACCTTGTTCAGAAGCAAAAAATGAGAAACCACCCAAATCACAAAACCACGTACCGCCATCACGCTAAACGTAAACTAAAAATTATTAACAGTTTAAATTTAATTTTTAAAATAAAAATGTTAACCAGCACACAAGAAGAGATGAACGCAGAGCAATACCAAAAGACTGGTGCAACTAATAGCTGACATTCTTCCTTTGAGGATTGTGGCAAACTGCATCTCTGTTTGACTTCGTTAACCAACTTTCATTAAAAAATATAAAAAAATTTAAAAGTTGAAATTCAAACGAAATAAGTTAATTGGTGACGGATCTAATAAAAATTTAAAATTGTAAAAATAAAAACTAGTCCTACAAACGGGTTTCAAGTTGTATTAAGTAAACTTCGGTAGTAAAATATTCAACTAGTTTTATTTCAATTGATTAAATTTAAATAAAGTAAACTAAATTTTAAATCAAATTCAACAATTTGATGAAATTTTGAAATGCAATTCAACGATTTCAAAAACAAAACGTTGTTAGAATGGCCGCGTTTTGTTTCAATTTTTTAATCGATAAACTAACTTTTAACTGTTATTCTGGTTTTTACTAATAAAATATATTTCTGATTATAGTAATTTTTTTGTCAACATCTTAGCTTCATTTTATTTTTTATTTTCTTTTTTATTTCATTTTATTACATTCACTTTAAAGATGTTATATGAATTGAAATATAGTTCTTAAATTTTTATTTTGATGTTATAATTCATTAAATGTTATAATCCGACTTTGATAAATTTTAATTAAAATCATTAAAATATTTATTCAGTACATTTAATCAAAATAAATTGATAAAATTATGTAAATTATAACAAAACCTGTGAAGTAATAATTAAATTATTTTTTAAGCAAAAGTTCAAAGAATTGTTGTTATAGTTGAAAATTTTTGTCTCAAAATGGACAGCAAATGCATTTAAAAGATTTTTATTTAGAAACATTTATACATTTTATATTTAGATACTTCAACAATAATATTTATTGATAACGAAAACTTAACTGTTCTTAATTATACAACTTTGACATACACAGAACGTCGACTAAATACATTTCGCATTTAAACTCAACACAAAGAGCCCCCATTTTACGCCTGCAATATTTGTAATAACTTAAAAAATTTTAAAAATTTTTATTACACTTTTATTTGTTTACTTAACATGTTTTGTTATAATTTACATAATAAAAAAAGGTCAAATCATTTTGCTAGTTGAAAATCCGGAAAATCCATCATATAACTCATATCACCATCCTTATCTTCATCATAGTCAACTATTGTTCTTTTCTTCTCTTTCCTTTGTTCCTATTTATGAACTTTCCATATTTCTTCATCTTCCTTCAACTTTTTTACTCTTTCCTCAAAACAGTATTGCTTCTCTTCCTCTTCGCGCTTCCTTTTGTTTGTTTCAAATCGTTTTTTCACTTGATCCAAAGTTGATCGCTCCAGTTTCATCGACATGCCGAGATTTTTTTGATGTTTCCTTCCGCTGATGTGGTCCAAAAAGCTCATGATGCCTTTGACGTTGCACTCACAGACACAGCAGTAGTGCCCTCCGATTTGAGAGAGAGATGTTGTTTTCGTGACGACAAGTGACATTCCCAATTTTGAATCCAAGTCCACTTTATAATCTCTAAGCTTTACTAACTCTAGTTTAACTGGAGCTTTCTCTGCTCTTTCTTTCTCTTTATTTTGTGTTCTTTCTCGAGCCAAACGTTTATACTCATCAACATTCCACTTTCTTCTGTGGTCCTGCATGGTTATTATCAAAGAATTAGCACTTTCGCTGCACTAAACACAATGATCAGTCGTTAAACTGACGTTCAGTGTTTATATCGATATAACAAAGAGACGTTTACGCTAGTAAAAGTATAGATATATACAATAATATCCAAAGATATTAAAATATCGTCAGAAAACTTGTAAAACAGAAACAAAGAGACACACAGAGTTAAGAGTTTTCGTAAAAACCGGTGAAACGTGATGATAGCGTAATCATTTATTTAATTTACATTGTATTATATTCAAATAATCTTATTATTTATTTGCACGTGCGTACCTGTTACCTTTGCGTACCTGGTTTACTTTATTTTATGCAACAATATTACATTTTCAGTTTAATAGAACTTAGATGATTATTAGCATGAAACAGTGAACCCCAAAATAAAGAAACAATCACGAGCAACTAGACGAGCAGCAGAGTTAAAAGTCTTACTTAAAAGAATGAGGAAGACCATAGTAGAGCGAGTTACAACAATCAATCCTAGATAAGACTAAAGAAGTAACAAGAAGGAGAAGAGTAGAGAAGAACCAATATAATTAAAACATAACGCCTAATTTAAGTTGCAAACATTTAATTTTACCTCGTTCTAAACAAAAACCTTTTAATAGCAATGTTAAAAATTTCAAATCACATGATTTTGCTAATTCATCTACTGCACCGAAAGGAAACAAAGATTTGCCAAAGTTTGTTGATATTGTTTGCTTTCATTTTTTTGTTATTACGAAACAAAGTTATCTAAAAAACATTAACAAATTAATTAACTAATTTGATTATGTTACAAAAAGTTTTGATAGATTTGAATTGTTGTTGAAGCCCTAGTTCGATAGGTAGATCTCAACATAGTTTGTTTAAAAAACGCGGCGTCATTGTATGCATCACACCAACAGCTTAACCACGTGTGACTGTGCCATATTTAAGAGTTAACATCAACTAGCCAACATCTAGTTTGTCAGCTAGTTGTCAACAAATTCAACTGAATGAGAAATGTTTTATTAACTAAAAAATTTGTTAGGATTATCGCTGATTTATCCGTAACGCCAGATAACAAACTAACTGACTTGTTAATAGTAGTTACTGTAGTAGTGAGAAAGTTGCAATATTAAAGATGATATGGTTACAGATAGAAGTAAAGCTAAATATTATAAGTAAGTTTTGAAATTTTTAGCTTTTAACATTTATATTTGGCGTGCCTTAAATCTTATTTAAAAAATAAAAAATTTGAAATCTCAGAGGTTATTGTATATTCCGATGTTTCAAACCTGCTGTTGATCCCAACAACGAGTCTCCGTATAGGCTCTCGTAACATTGCTGTTTCTGGACCAACTGTTTGGAACAACCTGCCTGCTGCTCTCAGAAATCCGGACCTAAACCTGCGTGATCCGGTCCTAAACCTGCGTGAAGAAACTGAAAACTCATTTATTTTCATTTTAATGCATAATAAATCAATTCTTTCTGTTTAGTCGACATGTTTTAAATATTATTTCGTATTTTCGTTATATTAAATCGATTAATATTCTGTTTATGACCAAATTTTAATCTTATTTCTGTACGATGTTTTATGATTTCTCGTTTGTTATTTCAATTATGTTGTTAAGTTCAGTTTTTGTTAGATAGCGCTTTTGAGATTCGTTTAATTAGCGCTTCATAAATGTTTCAATAATAATAATAATAATAATTGTGTTATACATACTTTTTTTACGCTGCTAGAAGGACTCACATACTACATCTTGCCCGCACCAAATTTCGACCTTGATAAGAAAACAGAAATTGAAATCGAAGCTATCCCGATTTGAAGTTGAACTAGATGCGCTCACATCATTTTATTCTTTCTATTTAAATAATTTTAACACATTCCAACCGCATTTAAACGCTCGTTAATTAACATAACAACATAACCTAACATAACATAGAAATTATAGTGGCTCAATAACTAACCATAATCTATTAATTGATATCTAATCGTATTATAATCCAAAAATTTAACTATAATAAAAGAAAATTTTTTAAGCGAGTAAAGATACAACGGAAAAAATCGACATGAAAATAATATCCACCAACCACATGAAAAATTACAAGTCAAGCCTTAGCAGATTTTTTTTTAAGAATAGAAAAAAAAAATCACGAAGCGTTATACAATTTATTATTAATTATTGTCTCTTCCCGTAAGTAGTTGCGTTGCTGAAGTTTTGTCGTTGCCTTACAAAAGTGGAGGGCTAAACATAAAATCGCTAAAATATCACACAGAGCTAATTGAGATTAAAACTTCGAGGACACTTAAAAACAAACACTAGTGAAGAAATGAGAGTTCTGTGACAGGAATCAAAGAATGAATACAAAAAAGTCGACAACCAAATCCAAAGCAACGATATTCAAATGGCATGCAACGTCCTTCAACCATCTATCGTTGCTACAATGCCAAGGAACATTGATAAAGTCGATTAAGGAAAACATTCACGACTCAGAGATCACCCGTTGGGCTAATGCAACAAAATCCCGGCCAGAAGTTTTATACAAATTCGCAAGAAAATATCTCATTCAACAACTACCAACCAACGCTAACCTAGTCAAATGGGAAAAAATACAGGGATGATATGTAGGCGGTTAGTTTATTACGGATTTAAATTAGAAAGACAATTTCACGCTCTTACGTTTTATTGCGTTGACTGCTAAAATTTAAAATCTACATTCAACATTATCTCATCCAAAGAAGAAATAATGGTAACTTCTGTATTTTCTGTCATCTGATATTAATTTAAAATTGAAATGTAGGTTTCTGTAAGTAAAAAGGTTCTAACAAAATTCTCTTTAAGAAACTTTGAGAAAAGTTGAAAATTAAAAATTAGGACATATGTAAATCTTAAGTGGACTATTGAAAAATTTTTGTCAAAATTTTATATCCGACTCTGGAAAAGGTAATAAATTTTAAAAAAATCGTTTTATTTGAAAATTTTTTTATAAAATTGTTTTTTTTGAAATTAGTTATTTGTAGCTATATGCAATCATCTTTAATACTGAAAATAAATGCTTATAATGTTAATAATGTTTTAAAACATAAAAAATAAAGTAGTTTTACTGAGAGAAACAATTACATTAAATGATTTTAAACGTTTTTCAGAATATTTCCTATTTATTAGTGATAATAAAGAGAAATTATGTTGTAAAAGTTGAAACCTTTTTTCAGCATGTTTTAAAACATAAAAATAAAATAATTTTATAAGTAAAATAATTACGTTGACTGATTCTAAGTGTTTTTATAAGTATTTTCTATTTAGCATGGTTAATGAGATGAAATCGTGACGCAAAAGTTAAAAATTATTTCTGGGAGTCGGATTTTAAAGTCTAAATTTGAGGCGGCAATCTGAGTTAAAATTTTTTAAGGGGCAGAAGTCGAGGAGGAGAAGTTGTGACCCACAGTTTGCCCACCCGTGTTATAAAAACACCGCCTTTTAGGTTGTGAATTGATGTCAGAGTTTTTCTGTGTTCTCGCCTACAATGAAGGCTCCAAAATAATATCGAAATTTGAATCAGGTAACCAACACGCCACCACGACTCGAGTGTAAGAAGGTCAGCACCAAACTCTATATAACCGCGCAAGCTCTAGATAACCGCGCAAGAATTCATGTTATAATTACTCAAAAATGGACTGGGACGTGTCAATACAAAACGAAAAGGAATGAATAAAATAACCCACAATGAATCGAGACTCATAAGCAAGAGCAAAAGATAGGTCACTTCCAAAAACTATTTGTAGAAAAAATCAGTTGGTGGTAAATAAATATAGAATAACTAGTATTTTTTGATATTTTATATAATAAAAACCCGTTTTTATTAGAAAAAACTGCTAAAAAACATGAACGGTTGTCAGAGATTTGTTAACAAAATATGATAGTTGGTTTTATCTATTAGAAAACGCTTTTGTTTATATTAAGTTATGGTTGTAGCCATTTTAATCAAACTTCAACAAAATTTTGAAATTTTGTTACAAAAACATTTTTAATAAAAAAATTTGTCGCAAAAAAGTTGAATGTTTTTCATAAATTGTTATCAGAATATGATAGCGGGTTTAATCATCTACTAGAAAAACTTTCCCTCACATCAAGTTATGGCTGTAATTTATTAAAACTTTTGTTAACAGTTCAATCAATCAAATAAATGATACAAATAGCGCGAAAACGATGAATCTAGATATTCTGTTGACTTTGTGATATCGTTTTCAACGAAGACAAATTATGAAAATATATAGCCGGGCGTCGGAATAATTTCGAACAAGATGCAGACCAAACTCCAGTGTATTTATAAAAAAGTTTATTTCAACAAATCTGTCATTGCAATTAGATAAATCATATTAAATATAAACAAAAAAATTTATAACAGTTAGGATGATAATAGAGAATTATTAACAAAGGTAATGCTAACATTAATAATAAATATAATAATAATAATTGTGGTGGTAATAATTTTTGGTATCATCATAAAAGTGAAATGATAATTATTTTATGAAATGCAAATTAAATTAGTTCCTTCCTAGCCATTTAGTATATATATATATATATATATATATATATATATATATAAGGAATGGGACGAATCCGAAAACTTGAGATCCGTGGTATCTGGATCCGAATTTTAATGATGGATCCGAATACAATTTGCATACCATCCTAAAACCAAAAATGCTGTTTCAAAACGAAAAAGTTTACAAAAAATATAATTTGTTTTAGCTGAAATAAATGGCGAAAAAACATCAATGAGTTCGTATATGTATGAGTGTTTATTACAGAATCCTCGTTGATATTTAGATTCACTTTTCCGACGATCGAAATTTTTTTCTTTTTTTAGGTTGATTTTGAACACGTAAAATGGCGGATCCTCAACATTGGATCCGCAGATCCGAACCTTTTCCGAGAACCGTCACATCCCTTATATATATATATATATATATATGTTGGTAATAGACCATAATTTTTACAATATTCTATAAATTCTACC